GTATTATTTCGTAGGCATCTTGAATACGATGTAAAGCTGAACAATTTCTATACGTTCACCGTGGTACTCTGTTATCGGTCGTTACATAGTATAAGTAATAGCTATACAAATAGAGAAAGTCGCGTATGTTGCTGAAAAGTGTGACTGTAAAAGAATATGTACAGAATAATAATATAAATAAATATTTTATTATTGTTACCAATAACACACTATTACACTTTTATACTTTTAAAAATGATGACATAGAACTGTTTTATTTACACATTTGTGTATTAACATTTTTATTTACACATTAGTGAAACAGAAAGTGTGGTCAATAAATACATTTTTTTCAAGGCGTAAGTATTACCATTACTGTATTTTTTTAAATAAAAATAAAATATAATTTGTTATTTTGGGAATCACTCTCTACTTTTTAATAACTCTACACCTGTTACAGGTGATCATCTTTCAGTTTCAGATAATCTTTAATTCCATATATCAGTTCATTTTCTGATATCACATAAGCGTGAGACGCAAACATATTGTTACGTGTTCATTATGACGTGTGTAAAAAAAGTGCAGTGAATAATGAACGCAGAAGAACGAATAAAGCAGACACGAACATGAACATGCAAGCTTACAAAATATGAATATATACGGGTAGATACCGTATCTGTGTGTACATCTGTACACGTAACATTGTCCTATTAACATTGAATGGGTAACAGTGTTGGAACCCTCCGGTGACTTTATGAGGCAACGAAAGCACTGATAAAACATAAAACGATAACTACATAACCGTTGTTTGATTCTTATTACCCGTTTCAAATACATTCAAAACAGACAAATTATTATTTCTAATGTTTTAACTGGTTCGCAGAACACTGTCTCGGAAATTGAAGTTGTAGACTATTAAGTAATATTACATTTGAAATCAAAACGCTTTAATTGATAAAACAACGTTATTCGAGTTTGTTCTTTGACAGGTTGAGTTGAAGTAATTTATATTTGCTAATGAAACGTCATTTATTAATTTAGAGTACATTACACCGTTACAAAATATACCATTAAATTAATACATGAGGTTCTGAGGTTATCGGTAAAACGTTGTTTTTATCATTAGAGTAGCCCATTACTTTCTCTGCGTGTGTACTATTTTCTGAATTTTTAGTTTTTATATAATATAATGTATAGAAGGAACAATAAAAAATATTATCAATTTATCAATTTATATACACATATTACTCGATATGACTACATATTTCGAGTACAAAGTAGATTAACGAATATGGTATAAAAAACAATTTAATATCTTTAAACTTGTTTTGATAATAATAATAACATACATATTTTATTGTATATAAAATTATTTTGGTGTGGTAAACTAAAAATAATATTGCAAAAAAAGTATATTCTATCAATCAATCTATCTAAAAATATTATTATCGTCAAATACACATGAGCATAACCAAAACCAACCTGTGCCGCTCAAACGTAACGTAATATTTCATCTCACTTTTAATAACTCTCTGATAAAAAACTATAATAAAGTTATTTCTAGTATTTTATGAGTAACTATTTTTTATATTTATATTCCATTTGTACCTTGTTAACTTAACATTAAAACGTTTATTTTACTAACGTTTAAATAATACATAATTAAATTAGTACATGTAATGCGTAACATCGTGCTGTTCCTTGTAATTAAATCACAGATTATATTAACAAACAGACAAGTTTGCGTGAGATAATGTTTAAGGTCTGTGCATAAAATTACAGCCGTGCACACAACACGATGTGTGTCAACTGTGTTTCCCGCTACTTCAAGAGAAACACGAAAACAAGACGATTGTTACAATTGTATTTAACGTACGTAATTATAATGAAATAGTACTGACAGTATGTATACAATATTCTAGCGCAAATATCTCAAAACTGGAGTGTTCTCACAGAATATTCTTCTTTGTATGCATCATTACTGTTATTTTAAAAAAGTGGGCCACTGGAATTATTATAAAATAAATATTGTACAGATAGTGCGAATGTCTGTCATATATATTTTTTGTAATAAATATAGTAACAGAAATAAAGATGTTGATGAGATTTCACGTAAAATCATAATTTCAGCAATTCTGGGTACACTGCTGTGTATATAATTCCCCTTAAACTACCTGACAAACAGTCCTGACCCAGCTGCATTAAGATTATCAAGTATCCTGCAGCATATTCGAGGTCAGCGGCCCAATTAGATGAGGGTCACTCCATTCAGATATAGTCGGTACGAGCTATATACGTATCGCAGTATATACATTAAAAACTAACATTTATTTAGCATTCTCCCACTTTAGGAAAACAATGAAAAATATGTTTATAGAAAATTGAATAAATGAAAATAAATAAAAGAAATTCTCAATTTATGTAAATAAATTGAGAGTATTCGCATATAAGCCGCATTTACAAATAAACTCTATCAGTTATTTACCTACTTTCAAATTCTCGCTTTGTCCTTTGGGATAGGCATTACTTTCACGGATGTATTCCTAAATCGGTTTACACATACATTTTACGTACAAATTCGCCAATATTACGCTTGTAAATCTTATCCCTCTGGAACCTCTAAAAAGTAATCTCATATCTGTGCAATAAAAAAAACAAGTACAATACATATTGGTAAATAATTCTATTGTACATAATGCGATATGTACAATAGAATTATTTACCAATAAATAAATATTAACGATAACGCTATATTATACTAATATGTTATATATTATAATATATATACCGTCACGACTGAATCCCGGATGGGGTAGTCAGAGGCATAGTCATTCCACCTCATAATCAAAACAACACTCTCAAAATTTTAAATCCACCGTTAGTGTCCAGGCCGTTTTGGATGTAAGTCAGGACGGTAAATTACGATACTCTCTATATTAATATGTATATACACAAAAATATTTCTATATAGTTGATTTAAAACCATAACGGATGGTTCATGGATTCCAATAACCTTGGCCTCGTCATCTTATACGGACCGAAAATTACTTAATTACTATCTAAAGATCTAATACAAGTGTAGCTATTAGGTAATTAAGTAATTTTCGTTTATCGGACATGCCGTGTTACTATTCCTTATAAGAATTTTGAATCCAACTGGTTATCAAGTTTAATTAATTATAACAAGCGTAATAAACGTATTAATTAAGTGTATTTATTTACAATACTGGTTAAGTGTTGTAAATAATTATATATACTTTATATTAGGTGAGCCCACGGCTTCGTATCCGTGGTATTTGTAATAATGAGAGTTTATAACTGTTTGTTCGTTCGATTAGAAAAACAAACACTAAATATTAAATTAAACTTACCACAATACATTAGTAAAAACCACATTCAAATAGCTTTAGCCGTTTCGAAGATTAACACGCAAATGCACAGATAGATGTGTAAAATCCCCACAGTAATAGTTTTTCGCTTATATCTTTCATGTACATAAGGCGATCTGATATATTTTTATTATTTGTATAGAGACAGTATGCAAATGATATTAAAATTACATAAAACATAATAAATTACTTACGAGATATTTTATTATTATGGACTCGAAGTAAAATGGGTACTACGGTAATTTATTGCGTGGCATCATATCGAACAGAAAACTAATATGCATAGACGCGTTTTACGGCCAGTGATTCTAATTTTACTGTTAGTTATGAACCAGTTGTATCTATATACATATAAACAACCTAAACATTAATTAACATTTTTCAATTTAATAGTTGTTTATAATGATTTTCTTGTCATATTCGACATTATTTTACCATATATGATTGATTAACACTTCAACAAATGGGATGGTAAGGATTTAGACCGGCTCCCTGCCACTAGCGGTCTATGTAGTCTCTCGAAGTCGATGTATTTTAGTTATATCATCACAATTGTAATAAAGTTTTAAAAATATAACTACGAGAATAGACTATTTTAACTCAATAAAAGCAAACGATGTCGCGGGTAACAGCTAGTAACAAAGAAGTAGATGAGTAGCACGGTGGCATTAGACAAAAGCTCATATATTTTGAATCTATATATATTCTAAAGATTAACATCGTAAAGATATCAAAAACGAGAATACAAGAATTCCAGTACAGATAATAGTCTAATAGTTTTTACCCCGACTCTTCCTGGAATTTTATGATTCACCATAATGATTATATTGGGCTATATATTTGAAAAGAGATATTAAAAACGGGCACCTCTGCTTTATGCAATCTTTACGTACACAAAAATAGAATAAGTAAAGTTAGTAAATTGCTAACAGTAATACGATGAGTCAGAATATTTAAATTGTTGTCTGACAGATTTTATGAAATAATAAACGGAGTAACAGTATCAACAAGTAATCACTGCCACTTAAAAAAATAGGTCGTAATGATGTCAGTAATCATACTTTAAATGTTTTAATTTATCATCTAGTTATAAAAATTAACGGGATGTCTTAAATATTCTCAATTGTTTACCCGTATCGCATAAAATATTTGAAAATTTAATCCATTTTGAATCATAATTTTTGCAATGACAATAGTTGGTACCTTAATTTTTATGTTATTTTTTAATATAATTTGATTAATCTATTAAGCATTAACATCATTATTGTCTTCTCTATATATGTCTAGTCCTATGGCTATATTTACGGAAGTATTGAAATATCGGTAACGTAAGGTGACGCATGCGCATGCGCCGTTGATGTCTTTTACAAGAAGTTAATGAGTGATTAATTAAAACAATCATACATGTTCAAATAATGTATAAATCATGTTGTAATTATTTATATAATATGTTTTGCACTATCTAAAAATTTATAATGCGTGGATTTGTAGTTGTATTATTGTATTATATTATTATTATTAGTATAAAAAATACTTCATATATTTATTTTCTTAAATTTTTTCTTCGTGCTTTAAAATAATTAACCTAATTAACATTATATGTAAAACTCCTTAGAATCAATAAATCGTTACCTTTTTATTCGACCCACATAGAAATAACGGCGTGTTCTTCAGGATGAACCGGTTCAATACAATACTTGATAACAAACACAGTTCACTTCGATAACCAAGTTCATGAAAATAAACGTTCAATAATTTGTATAGTTGAATACTGTCATTCGATTTTGTTTTGGTATTCGAAAATGGAACGCCGCATCTGCGCAAACGTACGCGCACCCGCGCACACAAACAGCCTCGTCGAGTGTGCGCCCGCGCTGCACTTGATCGTTGAACTGGCGCGCCAACCCGTTCACACTAAGATGATCATTGCTCCTCAGACACGCAGTGCTTATCACGCGACTTCTCAACGAGGCTGGTTAACGATCACGACTATACTGGACTGAGGTAATTGTAGCGCAAAATCCAAATGCGGGCAATGGACAGCAAACCGCAAAAGCAGTTCAAAAAATATGTTGTGGTCAGCGGCCTAAGCGAGAGATAGCTTAATTGATCGCTCTACGAATGCCATCACCCATATCTATAGTAACGTTATCTTTTACATTTATATAACTGTTTTTGAAATACTAATTAATTATTTTCTAGCAAACTACCCATTTCATTAGTAATTAGTAATAAATATATAAATAATACCTATAGATTGTATACACCGTTATGACAGGTACCTACACTTTTACGAGCACAGATAAGATAATTATGAGTATTTCATTCCTTATAACATACTTAAGAAACACAAATAAAGTTTCAATTTCTACTACAGGTTTATTTATCTTTTCTAATAAAGCAGATTTTGAGCCATTGCACTGCATCAAACGTACCTTAACCAATAGATGTGTTTGTGATATTGTTGGAAATATATACCATAGACTAAGATTTTCACTTTTCTATCAGAGACGATCAGAGACGATCAGACTGATCTATTAATAACTAGGATGGCACATAAGCTAATAACATTGTTTTCCGTGGGATTAATCAAAGCATTCAAGTATATATAGTTATAAATGATACGTCTTATTAGAATGTAGTAGGATCTAAACATAGGTTAACTACTATATTAAAGGCTATATCAGAATATTAGCTACAGAGGTATCAGTTAATACGTATTTGTGGTATCATTTACATAATAACATTGAAGATATTAATTTATGAAGAAGTAGTACAAGTGTTTTAGTAGAACACAATTCCTACCCAAATTTGATATTATTATTTATTAGCTACCAGCCATGAAGTAACTATCTAATGTACATATGTATAAATAGTATATGAAAATAAACTGTAATAATTAGATACATATAAGTTTGAATTCATTATAACTTTTAGCAATGGTTTAATTAATTAACCAAACATAAAATTTAGGCATATAAAATTTAGTCACTTCAACTTATAAAATAAATTAAATGCATTTTGTTCCGCAAAAAACACCTATTACCAATATTGAGAAAAAAATATATAGAATCATATAAAAATAAACGCGATAGGCCACTCTATTTAAAACCTCTTGTGAAAGAACCCTCTTAGGAAGCATTTAACAATTATTCATTTATAACACAGATCTAATCATTATGTGATAGTATTTCTAGCCCTGTATATAATTATGTCTAAGAATCCATATAATATCAACTGTGTACCATACAAAATCAAATTCTTAATTAAATAAAACATTCTCGTAGTGTAGGCGACGTGAGGACGATTACATCATCCAACACAATTCACATTTAGTGATTATAAATGTTTATATTTAGAATATCTATTATTAAAAGAATAATTACTTTAATACTATTCGTTTATTCCGACACAACACAATATGTGTATTAATTGCTTATTCGTATATTAAAAAAAATAGATACTGTATCTGCACTCGTTTAGTCCAAACTATGTTTTCCTATTTACTTGGCCGCCAGGATGTAGGGGTTCAAAAAGAGTACCACACAATAAGCGATTATATGAAAAACAAAGAGAGTTTAATATCTCTCATGTTATAATGAAGTATTATAATTATATAAATAAATAATATAAATGTGTAAATAATATAAGCATATAAACTAATGAAGATAAAATTGAAGAGACTTTTTTTTTTGACAAAATCATTAGACTGATTTATCGATTTGAAAAATCTTAAATTTTATATAACTCTTTTTATCCATAATATTTGAACAATGAATAGCTTTTGTTCTCACTAATTAGATAATGTGTCTAAAAAGTACATGGAGGTTGGTTAGCGCAGGCAGCGTAATAATGACATCCTGTGCAAAGCGTATCCTAGTGAACCGCGTTCTCGGCGACCGGACGTCGAACCCAAGACTCGCAACGTAGAGCCATGCCACAACCGTGTTCTAATCGCTGCCGCATACTGGATAACAATATACTGTAATACATGTTTCTAAAATTTTCTTGCACACGTTCGTATGTTTTGCGCTGCCATTTGTCTCACGATTATAAAACTTTGTCAATTTAGATATAATACACTCTACTAATTTATATTTGATACCAAGTAGTATTTTAGACATTTCTGTAATTATAAAATCGTGCAGTAATAAATACTAGTCAATAAATATAAAACAATATAAACATTATTAAAATTATTAAAGCTGAAGGTTTGCAAAGATTGTTTTATGTCCTCCGTGGCCTGCCACAAAGAAAGATCTAGAACCACTTGCATTCTTTGATTACCTGTGACACACTTGAAGTCGTCGCTCCATCTAGCTTAGGTTCATCTCATTGTGTGTAGGTGCGATTGTTGATTTTTTGCTTATATCCACAAAGCAGCAGCAGCAGCCTATGCTGGAGTTAAAATTAAAGAATTAAATACATTTTAACATCATTCGTATTAAGGTTCATAGAAAATTGTTACCAACCTGCTCAGTCTAGTGTAAGTGGTGCTTAAATAAGTAGAGGTTTTGCCGTCGTACGCTATTTCCCAAGAGCCCGTGGTGAGGGCGTTACATGACATAAAACGTCGTGGCTTTTGCCCCACCGCATATTTTATGCCCCATACAAATCTCTCTCGGTATTTTACACAGACATTTTTATATCGAACGTTTACTTTACAATCGCCTTTACATCACACAACAAATACAATTTATGTTTTAAATAAAACTTACATTTTTCATGTTCGTTTATTAGTATTTTCATAAATATATATTTACTTAGGAACTAAAATTGAGCACAGAGGTATGTTAAGGTACAATACCTATTTACAGATATTGATCAGGAAGCATTCATGTATGTGTCATTCATCTCAATAGTACGTGAATACAACTAATATATTGTAGCATACAGAATGAACCAATCTAAGTCGCTTGAAACAAGCTATTAAAATAGAACAATCCCTTTTTTTATTAAATATAACACAGTTATCAGTTTTATTCATCAATCGACAGTGCTATTCACAAGAAACTTAAAAGCAATTCAAAAGAATAAAAACAATAATAGTTTTAATTATTGTTTTCGGTTTTTTATTATTTAATTATTGGTTTATTTTTGTAAAATAGTATCTACATTTCTCAATAGTATTATTCTTCAATATTAAAGAACCTAATAGACCTTTCTGCAGGTTGCATATTTTATATAATTAACATACTGAGAGTACCATTGTGTATTTACTCCTTTTGTATTAAGTTTCTATTAGAAATATGACTGAATAGAAATTAAATACCCGCACAGACCATATAAAGTAACATGTCTCTGAAGTAACACATTTAAAAAAAGAAGTAATATTATAAGAACAAATGTATCTAAGCGATTCAACAACAACTTTAAAAATCAAGTTTTGTAAAATCTATCTATTTAATAATAATCAATACAAGGTAACAAGCAAACAATATGGTTAAAATATATTATATTGTACCTACTTAAATTAATTCTTTAAACTATGATAATTATATGACGTCGTCGTTGCCCTGTATTGATTTTATGGTTTGCGTTCCCAGTCGTATTACAACAAGATCACATAACCATTAATTTCCCTTCTGATAGTTTTTATCAGCATATATACAATGTTCAGTAAACCCTATATTTAAAAACAAACCACCCAAATTTTAAAATCCTACTAATAAAACACTAATTATTCATCGCTGTAATGTTTTGAAATCGCGTCCAAAATAAATTGGAATGTTCTAGAGTTAATCCATGTAAGACCTGATGGTAGTTCTGAGGTGTCGAGACTTCTTGCTTTTCTGCCAACTGTACGTTCAAGGAAGTAATCATCGTATTCCATGCTATAATCCGGTAATATAGGATTGAACTTCGCGTAATAAATGGCAGAAAAGGCGGCATACAACAGAAGAGCCGCAGTGAATAACTGAAACGAAGAAAGATTAGGAGCGTAAGTGTAAAGTTTCGAGATAGTAAAAAGAGTATTTCCGACATCAGTTCTATTGTAACAAATATTTAGTCATTAGGGTAAAAAATATAAGGATTAACTAATGAGGATAGAGGTACGCGTGATTCATCCTTGTTGCAGATAACATAATGCCTTGCTTGGGTTCAATCGAATTACTATATACAGAATGAAAATTATGACCAATGTATAGAAATACAACAACTACGAACTATACCGTCGATAACGCTATTTAAGCCCCTGAAATAGTTATTGATATTCAGAATAGTATTAGTAATTCACACTGCTTGATTAATAACATTTTCCAGATTAGTAACTCAAGGTGCTATACAGAATATATATAGAGTACTCTGTTTATTTATTTCCTTTTTTAATTTATATTACATTTAATTATTATGTAGGTTTGTTTATTATATTAATTAATATGTAGGTATTGTCATTTTAAGTTGATTTCTACCAGTACTCTTTTTTCCTACTATTTCTTAAGTAATATGTTTGTATTAACCAGTTCTTTTCAAGTTTAATTTACGTTTATACCTATAGTTGATAATTTCAAATCCCTTTTGTGGTAATTTACCATATAAATAGTATCTAAACTCCATATATCATATTTCGATGAAATACTATCGATGATATAAATACTGCTATTTTTGCCGAGAAGCAGTAAGGCTCGTGTTGTTTAGTTTCAACTTGAAAGATGAGCTAGTTAGTTAGCAAACTCTGATAAGAGAGGCAATGGATCGCGCATTACTCATTGTATAAAATGAGTTCAAACTATGATTGTATAAGTAGATTAAGCAAATATTAACATCAAAACAAAAAAGATTAAACATTAAATCGTCTTACATCGAAGTTTAAATTAGTATAAATACAATTATTGAACTATGAATCAATTTAGCTGACATTTTATGATATTTTATTACATTACAACTGATATAAAATAATAGCATTTAGAAATTTTGAATGAAATATTAGCTCGAAACAAAACAAATATATTCATAAAACATTAATAATTATATTTCATATATTCTTATATGCGTAATCAATAATAAGTGGGAATCATAAAGACCATCGTTCGAAGTATGGGAAACGAGCTCAATAGCTAACAAGTTCATTACCGCGACCCACACGCTTGAAGCTCCCAAGTTGTGGCACGAATATATAGCGGAACATAGTAATTGCATTTTACACCGCGTTTACATATTGTAAATGTAGCTACAATAGCCATACAAATGTTCCATTTGATAACTCATTTACGGTTCAAGGTATTTACTATTAATACATCTCTAAAGAACAGGAAATTGCTAATCCAACATTCTGTTTAGAATCTATTCGCTTCCGGGTTTTTTCGTAAATTTTATGCTCCTAAACTAAAAGTCGTAAACAAACCCTTATACAGATTTATCCATCGATTATTCCGCTATTTCTCTAATAATCGGGTATTTGATATTTTTATGTCATAACCTGATATAATAACAATAAATATTTAGTGTAATTACAAGCTAATATAATGCAGAAAATATATGCAAACAAGGTATACATATAAACATAGAAAGCAACTGCGACGTGAAAAAGGAGAGTTAGATTATTTGTGAGTATTATATATAGTAGTAATATGTATATAATATATTATTATAATAATACAGTGTTATTTTTATTTGTGTTGGTCATGCTAAAATAAGCATGACCACAAACAACGTAATGATACAATACAATACATTCTGTTAAATATATATTAAGCTTCTCGTACCAGCACCGCGTAAAATCTGCATTGGTAATTAAAATTACAAAGTAAAACGTCCCTTCTCAGATGCTTTTAAGTATAATTAAATGCTTGTTAATAATACTATTATGTAAAACAGTAAATATGAACAAAAAATCCGAAAACATTACAGAGAAGCACTTAAAAGCAATAAAGCTTATTTTCAAAATGAACATTTTGGTGAGTTGTTCAATCGTTTTTCAATAACAACCGTTTGTTTGACCTCAACAATGGGCTCTACGTCCGTTTATGTAAATTACGTGAGAAATTTTAAAACTAATATAAAATCACTATAATTGTCTTCAATATTCAACAAATACACCTTGCAAAATGTACGACGAGTTCTCTGCTTCTTATTTAATACACTGATGTAACCAATTTTCTGAACTATTATAATATTATTATTACGCAACCGTTTTTTATTTGCATTACGAAAGATATATTTTTAAATTTAAGTAAATATTTTTTGTTACAGTGAATGAATGAATGAATGAATGAAACGATCCTCTCATGTTATTTTATTTAATTAATTAAAAAATTGCTCGTAATCCTCTGTTCACGCTATTCTTATTCGGCACGATATTTTTATTCTCAATTAGAGCATATTATGTTTTTATGAATTAAAAAATCAGTATCTCTCCAATATTTGAGTATATGCTTAGTATTATAACTTCCTTACCATCTACATCCACATCTACATTGAGTGAATTTTATCTTCATAATTTCTACATAATTTATAGAGTTGAAGTAAAAACGGTACTACATACACCTTCCAGTTGAGAATTATCACCGATATTACTAATTTACATAGAGATGTGAACCACAGTAAATATTGTATGTACATCTAAAGAGGCACCGTGGTTTCAGTTAGCGACGTCGGTCACCCAGTTCAGGTAATACCGTTATCGTTACCAGACGAATCAACGTAAGATACAGATAAAGAGAGATTAAACTATCTTACCAAACAAAAGAAAGTATTGATAGCAATATTTACTAGAAAAATTCCATGACTCTTGAAAACGCGTAATCTTTATGTACATAGTATAAAATGAAGTCGCTTCCGTTGTCTGTTCGCTTAAATCTTTTAATCTGCGCAACGGATAACGCTGTTTTTAGTATTGCTAAAAACTGATAGAGTGATTCAAGAAGTTTTATATATACATATACACCCGTGCGAAGCCGAAGATAGTATATAATAAAATAAGTGCTACTCCCGCAACAGCACATAATTTTTTTTAAATTACTTAACTAAGCCAGAAATGGAATCGATACTTTTAACTACTTAGTACTACTTACTAATGATAAAAAAACGAACGAAATATACTTGAACTTGTTTTATGTATAAATTTAAACAAATATAAATTTAGAAGAATATGAATGTTCTGATGTTTTAGTCATTTTATGCTATTTATTAATACCTACATATTATTATTTTGTTGACCTTAACAACAAAATAATAATTTTAAAGCCGTAGAAATATCTAATGATTCGTACATAGTAAATAACATTCAATGATACTTCACTATTATTGAGCTACCCATGCCTGACGGGACATTGTCGCTGCAACATTACTGAAACTGTGTCAATGTTATGACATAAACGTCATTCTTGTAATTTTGATTATTAAATGACGGTAAAGCGACAATTTTTTCAGACACCACAATTATTAACTACGACATTTTATCGCTACGATGCGCAACGGTGCACTAGAGGTCACAGCTATTTGTATGTATTTATCAACCACATCAAATTACGCTTTGCCTGTGTTGAATTTTTTATTTGCACCTAGTGTTCCTGCACAAGAAGCAAGAGCAACAGTCTACTAATAAACTGAATTGCCAACTTTAATTTGCGGACGATAATATTCTTTAAAATTAAATTGATACAATGTGAAGTTTATTCAATTGATTATAAGACACTGAAAATATTTTTTTCATTCAATATAACATATCACAATATATTATAAGAGCTTGGTGTACAAAACTTTGGTACATTTTTTATCGACGGAAAGCACTAGGTATATGTTGCTATATTCATAAGTATCGCCATGGACATCGTCGTTACAAGATCACAGATACGTGGATACTGTGTTGTGTGTTAGTACCCTAAATAATCATGATATTTAGGTGCCATGTTATGCGTCATAGTTTAAAATAAAACGCAACATTACCTGGAAAGCGCTCCAGAACTTGAATGATCCCTCGTTGATTATCCAGTCGTAGTATCCGGCCCAGGGGTCTGTGTATCGCCCTTGCTTCATAGGTTTCGCAGTCGTAGTTGTAATGTTATAGACATGTTCGTCATAATAATCATCAAAACCTCGCCCACTCTCTTCAAGGGTTATGTTATTTGAACCCCGTCTCTGAAACTGAACAGTTTCAACAAATTGAAATAACGTTAGACTATGCCAATTTTGGACTCAGTATACAGTTTACTGTTCATATTAACGCGTATTAATTCCTATTAGGTATATAATGAGGTAGTCAATCAGATTGTTTGCTTCTATTAAAACATTTCTCTATGTTTAAAAAATACTTATAGCAGCCTATTTATTATTATATTTATTAAAAAAAACATAATATATTCATGACTTTGTGTTTCTTTAAATATCCATATAGCCTATAGAAGTTATTTATTTTCTTTATAATACACAATCATCCCATTTATATCCTATTGTACCCGATTTGCTTTTAAACAAATTAAAAACTACTTGTCCACTATCATTTTATTGTGTTTGATCTATTACTAAGTATGATAATGAAAATTTGAACTTTAAAATAATTTCCGAGATTGAAAGGTAGTCGATGTAGAATTACCGCCGATATTCAATCGTGTTTACTTACTGGAACAACTGTTGAGTTTTTGGTAACGCTTGCGCCAGTATTGGCTCGGCTCTTATTGATATTCCTAACTACATCGAGTAGGGTCCTCAGACCTGCCATAATCAGCTCAGACGGCGGCATGTAATTGCTAGCAGGCACAGACTCCTCTTGAGGCTCGTCAAACATATTATCTGGGTGTGTGTCGCCATTACTAGAAATGTTAATAAGTATGATATAAATTTTTAAAAGTAAAGTATAAAATTATGTTCTACAGTGTTGAATTTACGCGATGTTACAATACAAATACAGATTTTTCAGTAATACAGATCATGGAATTAAGTTTAGGTCTTCTTCATAACATTTCTAAAGGTAATTCTTTACTGTATATGTCTATTTTAAAGTGACTAAAAACACAAATAAAAATAGACATACTTAGAAAAGCGAATTAGAGAAAATCTTAACGATGGTGGGAAAAATACTAAGCAAGTGGGTAAACAGATCTGTCTGTTTGTAATAATTATTTACATCCACCGATATCACCATTCAACATTATAATTTAATGCTTTTAAATATCCTAATTACAGAAAATATACCTTTTATGTACTGTGAATAGATATTTAATTTAATTACAGAAAATAATATCCGAGAAGGGCAGAATCTACATAAAGTACCATATTCTACATAAATATTCAGATAGTAAATATCAATCGAGCATATGACATCTAATAGCAGAGCAATAACATATCACACACAAATGCAATTCATATACCGCTAAAACGTGTTCATTAAACTAATTGGGTCACAGTTAGGAATATGAGTATATGGTATAGCGACGCAGTTAGATGATGTATACTTAACATTTAATTAATTTTGTTTCGAATTCTCTGGAATAAATTGATGAAAAGAGATTTACAGATTCTTCATATGTACACATATTATATTTTCGTAATATAAATATATTTTGTAATAGGTTTAATATTTAATTTAATTTATACCTTATAAAGAACTATTTAAATCTATGTATTTGGGAAAGGACGGCCTCATTCTTACTCTACATCTTACATTAATTTATTATTACAGTAATTTAGAGAGATATTGAGTTAGTAATCATTAATCTCTAGCCACTTTGACTACAAAGTGGAGATTAATTAAAGTAATCTTAGTAGATTACTTTAATTACAAGTAAGAATCAGACATTTTTCTAATAAAGCAGTCATATGTAATAAAATATATTAATTACCGTTTAGGATATAAGAAGCACTTACTGTATAGGTATATAGTTATATTTCCTATAGGGCGGTGAGTATGGGGTGGCGGTATCGTACCGCGCCGGCGCCGCTGCGCTCACGCTTACCGACCACAGTGCCAACGCTGCGGCCGCCCAAACCAACGCATGACACGACAGAAATAATGTGCCCTTTGAAACCATTTCACCCTAATATTCAAAATTAAATAATAAAATTAGAAAAGTTGGATTTATATCACTTCAGTTTCATTAAGACGGTGTTCCAATTAAGTTTAAAAAAAATGTACTTCACTGTCGGACAGTGGTTACAAGACTGACTGATTTGAAATGTCACCATCCCGTTAACCGTGTAAAGGGAGCGCCTGAAATATAGATACTGTAAATACTTCGTTGGCATGTAGTTCTATGAGTAGGGTGTAAATTAAATTTGCAGTATTGACAGTGAAAGCGCAGGAAGCGACTCACAGTCAGCGGAAGAGTACGCTATACCCTATATTATTTAAATAGCGGTTATTTCTATCTAAATTATGACGAAGGTACTCTATGTACACACATAGGATGTGGCCTTATTGTATACCAAATTTAACTGTAAATACAAACATTGTACTAAACACAAAAGAACTTGTATAATAATTTTATGTGACTAATAATTTAGTTTAATTTTGTCATATATTATAAGATATCTTTGTATTAGCATTATGTATTATTTTATAATATTACTGTAATATGAATATTGTTAATATTAATAAAATAATATAATATACTATTATATTATACCATTAGCATGTAATCAATACTCGCTTCATCCAGTTATTCGTTTATTTTGCTGTATGTACCTATACACTAATGTAATAATACATAATAGATTATACTAAATTTCATGAAATCAACATCAACATCAAATAATTTTAATTCAATTTTGTAAAACAAACCATGCATATCCACCAGTAGGTATAAAAATGCATGATATTTTGTATTGCTGTATCTTATATTATTTATCCGTTAAATAAATGAATATATACACTACTACATAAAGAATACTAGTAAATAAATAGTTTTTCAACTTGTAATATGATATAAATAACTGAATACTCGCAAGTGACTACTCGCTACAACTGAGAACCCGCCCCAAAAATCTGTAAGACAACTTTATCACCGTAACCAGAAACTAATAAACCTAACACGAACATGTCTTGTGTATCTAGACCATCATCTCATTTGCATATTTTCGTTTCATAGCCCTAATTACAAGCTATAATAATAATATAATTATCGGTCTAAACGTCCAAATTTATTATAGTCATATGTTTTAGCCGTTTACCATTTCATTCACTTCAATTTACTTAGTATATTGCTTCTGACTGCTAGCTTACATTATTTATAAAATCTAATTTCCTTCAATTTACACCGCTGCCTTAAATAATATGCAAGAATGGTATAATGTATATAGCCACAGATTATAAGGTTGTATTAAGTGGACTGAGTTCTGAGACTTCCACACGTTTTTAACCAACTCTACTACTGTTGGATGGCAGTTTCATACCAATAAGATACATTTGCGTAAAACTGACAAGCAACTGCATGAACTATTATAAAAATAGTCCTGTAATATTTGGGTATTTCCTATGTTTGAACGGGCAAGCGAGTACTGTGAGACTCCTACTCACTAAAAGCTCCAAGCTATTCCGACGAAACACCTATTGCCGAAATCGAGTAATAGAGTGTCTCAATAGATCTGGAAATAGGCTAAAATACATATTTTTATGTAATTAGAAGCGCTAAGAATCTAACGGCCCACCTGGACAACTCGTTATCATCTGACGCCCGCAACACAAATCCGGAGTACTAAGATATAGATAATATACAAACACAGATGAATTATTAAAAACTCTACGGCGCTACAAATACTTAATATTTCAAATTAGTTCAAGATAACTGTCATCACAATGTTATAAAATTAGAGCCTAGGTATATACATATATGCAAAAATATTAAGTATTCTAATAAATTGCTTGGTAATGTTTGCATAAAAAATATACAATACAGACACCAGAGCTCACCAGACGGCCTATTGTTTGTAGTAGAAATGAGATGTATAAGTATTGATTGTTTACACCACATATATTCACTTACATTTTCTTTTCATATTATTCTTATAATGTCAAACTTATGTAGGTAGATCTTTTCTTTTACATAGTATAGAACAAAGTTACCGCCGCTATCTGTTTGCTTATATCTTTTAAATTACGTAATGGGTTTTAATGCAGTTTTCATCCATAGATAGAGTGATTCAAGATTTGTAATGTATCCGCACGTAGCCGTGACGGATCGCTGGAATAAGTTTGATATCTAAATAAGATATAATGTAATATACTATTTCGCAACTAAAACGTTTTATGAACTGGGTACTGGTATTAATATATCAATCGTCTGGTTGAAAGTAAACGGGATAGTATTGTACAGTAGGAAAGAACGAAGAAATAAAAATTATTTATTCAGTGCTTTTTAACAATGTTACAATATAAAAAACCATATAAAAAAAGAGAATAAAATACAATAAAATGTATATACAATTAAACTTAATTTAACATGTATATAATTAAAAATAAACATATAATAATCATTTTTTACATACATAAATGGCATTGAAATAGTTCCTCTCAGCTTTACTGTATATCCTATGTGAACATACCGCTAGTTTTCACCAAAACGATAAAATAATAGATATACCTATATAAAAATGGGGATTAACTATTTTAAATATTAATGACAATAAATAAAACAGAATTAGAACTAAAAACACAAACCAATTATATACACTAAAAAGAAAAATAAAAAAGAAACATATATATATAGAATATAAACAATTCTTATATAGTTTCTTAAAGGTGATTACTGATTTTGCGAGCGTGCTGGAAGCTACCACTTTATTTAAAAGTAAATATAGATATCAAACACTATTGTTCTAAGAATTGACTATTAATTACATTATTATTTTGTCTTTGTGTAATTAAACTACTAAAAATCTAATTAATTTAATTGTAACGTATATATAGCAAGTGAGACTCGAATTTAAAATAAAAAAAAGGGTGAGTATTGTTTCTGTGATTGAAATTAAATTATAACATTTTTTTATTTACATCAGAGAAGATTACATAACTTAATATATAGATAAGATATACATATATCATTGTAGGAAGCAAGATCTTGTCACTGAATGGCGATCTCTTCTAATCAAGCCAAGATAAAGAGGAGTAAACAAACATGCGCCTTTTCGAGACGAAATAATAAGAATAATAACAAAATGTATTAAGATTATGTGAAAGAATATGTGATAATAAGTGATGCAGTAGAAGTTTGTATGTTCATGTACATTTTCATTTTATATCGTACTAAATTATTTTTTAAATCATATTCACATATATAACTATAATAATATACATAGTACATACATTTTATAAATATAGATATCAAACACTATTGTTCTTATTATACACACATATACTATACTTATATAGAAAATCATAACATTAATCTAATTCATATGCGTATTCAGGCGTAAACCGTAGTATGCGGCCGAACAAAATGTTTGTGATGCACTTACCTGAGTGTCGACTAGCATGTTTAGTTACGCGTCACTGCACCGCAAGGTGCTCCGTCCTCTACAGGTCGGTCCATAACCAGTTGCGATAAATCTGTACTAAACATAACCTGTGTCATTTGCATGCACATTGTAATTAACTAATAAATTAGGATTTATTTTTATCATCAACCCCATAGTTCACTCGTATTATTTTGTATCTTAACCCTTTCAGAACTGGCATGCACAATTGTAGACATAATATATAATTTAAAAAATAAATATTAAACTCTCAAGCTTTCCGATTGAAAACGATTGTATTCATTTGTTCATTATAACTAGATTTTTATTTATTTTTTTATAGTCTCCTTATTATACTAAAACACATGGAATTTACTAAATCCATTTGATGAAAAAAAAATTCACATCTGAAAGGGTTAAGTACTTACTACTTATCGTATGATATTGTAACAATTGATAATCGAGATAATTTTGACTGTTTTATCTGATTCTGAAATACTTCTATCGAATGTAATATTGTGGTAACATTTGTTTAAAATATATTTGTATGTATTGTACACCTGTAGTATTGTTACAGTTATGGCTACAGTTACAATGATGGCTCTGTCTACAAATGTATCTTTTATATTAATATTCTTGTTTTTGCGTGAAGTTACTGGAACGTTAAGAATTGATCCTTTAGTTGAAACGAAAGTAGGGCTAGTACGAGGGCTGAGGGCCAGTGATGGTGCATATTCAATGTTTTTGGGTATTCCTTATGCTACTGTCGATCCAGAAAACCCATTTAGTGTAAGTAAATATACTGAATACTTTCGTAATATTTAAAGAACTGACGCTACTGCTCATAATTCTTCTTGTTTAGTTCTTCTACATTAATTCAATTGCTGAGTATGTGTCAATTTAAGAGCCCCATTGTTTTTAGGCTTCTAAACCATATCCTGAATTTTCGGACGTATTTGAGGCGTATGATGATACGGCAATTTGTCCCCAAATAGAAGAATTCGAGAACAATATAGTGGGTAACCTGGATTGTCTACAATTAAATATTTATGTACCCAACTCTGCCAGCTCCAGGAATCGCCTCCCAGTATTGGTGTATATATATGGTGGCGGTTTTAATATTGGATTCTCTGGTCGTTTCTTATATGGGCCAAAATATTTAGTTCGACATGATGTTCTCTTGGTGACATTTAACTATAGACTGGGACCGTATGGTTTCATGTGTTTGGATACACCTGAAATACCAGGAAATCAGGGTCTCAAAGATCAGCTTACAGCACTGAAATGGATAAATGACAATATTGAAGCTTTTGGAGGCGATATTAATAAAATAACTATATTTGGCGAAAGTGCAGGTAGCGCTTCAGTAGATTTGCAGTTTTTGTATGCATCAGGAAAGTTATTTCAAAACGTTATACTACAAAGTGGTACATCATTATGTCCATGGATAATTTCAGAATCCGATAAAGAGGCACCTATAAAATTAGCTGAGCAGCTGGGTTATTCAACAAATATACCCGACGATGCTTTAAGATTTTTAGCAACCGTCGACACCAACTTAGTGATTGCAGCAACGGATGAACTTCAATTATCCTTTGGACCATGTATAGAAAAAGTGTTTGAGGGAGTGGAAAATCTAATTATCGACTATCCCAATAATATAGAACTTGGAAATTTAAATAATATACCTTTCATTATAGGTTTTAACAACGACGAAATGCATGCCAATTTTGTTGATTCTGACGATAATACAAATATATTTAACGAATACTTGCTAGAAACTTTTGATTTTGAAGATGAATATTTAATTGAAATGGAAAGATATGTGCGACATTTTTATATAGGAGACGAAGAAATAAATGAGAAAGTGAAAACAAATGTAACAAACTATATGTCAGATTTTAAATTCGTTTATCCTTCTGTTAGAAGCATTCAAAAATATCTTAACAATGATGCCGTTGTATTTAATTACGTATTTTCGTACAATGGCGCTAGAAATTTTGTAAAGAATAAAGATAATATTACTACAGGAAATGCTTTACATGCAGATGACATTGGCTATTTATTCGATATATCATACATGAATAAAAATCCAACAGCGGAAGATCAGCTAGTTATAGATCGAATGACTACATTGTGGACGAATTTTGCTAAATACAAGTAAGTTCTATTAGAATATTACGTATAAATATATCTCATTTATTAATTAAAAATATTATTTCAATTAAGCACGAGTAAAACCCGTAGAAAAGAATTAAATATGAAAATACTTTATTTAATTGAAATGTCCATTTATTATATGTATAAATAAAATGGCTATGTTTACTGTACTTCTAAGTTGACTAGAAAGATTTTAGAAGTTTTTAATTCGGTCATAGTCACTAATTCATAAGAGTGGCTTAAACGATTTATTCCGGTAAAAAGGATAATATAAATATGAACGTGACAATGACATTATGATATTTTTTTAATATTAAGTTCATACTGATTTATTGAAGTTGGGAATTTTGCAAGTATCTACGACACCATTTTGTTGAGCGTGTGGTCTTAATGGTTTAAGACACATTAATAATACTTTGGATTTGATAAACCTACGCGAATTCGTACAAAGTGTTCTCTTAATTTATTCGATAATACCCTATAAAGTTTAAGTAGACCAATTTTTAAATTGAACAGGAGCTACTTTACAGTGTTGAAGTAACTAATGGGCTAACTGATGCTGAATTCCTTTCCTCTTTTCTAGACAAAGATGACATTTACTTACGCGTAAAAATACTAGACATTAATAAAATTACCCGCATACTAACACAGTCGTCAAACACAAAAATATATATTAACATATTATAAGAACAACTATAATAACACTACAAAATGTTTGTGTTGTTTTAAACCAACAGTGATCCCACACCTGAGACTACAGAACTGTTACCCATAAAATGGCCGGCTGCCACAAAGGAGACGATGTTATACTTAAATATTAATCAAGATATTGACGTAAGGAAGAGACCGTTTCATGAAAGGATGGCATACTTGGACCTCTTTTTCGATCTCAATCGAAAACGCCTTAAAGGAGATCGCAATGACAATTGACAATGCATAACAGAGTTAAGACATTCCTAGTAAAATGTTTACCATAGTATTATTAAATTATATGAAGAAATGTTATAGTGATATAATATTAATAAAATGTTTACTACTGGGTCAAGAAATCGTTTAGTTTTAAAATTTTTAACCATACATTATTTCAATCTGTTTATTCCATGTGATGATATTTTTGCTTGTATTACTAAACTATCTATATTAATTTATTTAGTATGAATAGCCAATTTAATTCTGAAACGTATAAGCGGGGTACGCACTTAAGGTTTGAAGTATCATATAATAAAATATTTTAAGTTAACTGAAACAAAACAAGGTTTATTATTTAAAACATTTAATAATCAACAACTTAAACACAAAATAAATAAATATCATTTACACAAATTCTTTGAAAATCAATAAAATCAAAACAATTTAAATGCGTACCCAAGTATAGGGGTAAGTGTGCGCAATATGTGACATACAGTAAATAGAGTCAGACTCATACGATAAACTAGAAAATTGACATTGAGGATGTAATAATACATCAGTTCAAACATTTCCTATTCAAAGTTATTGCATTGTTCATGCCACTAGCTCTTACAGATGCTGCAATGGATCCAGTCTTCATTCGGTGAAAATATGTATTTTTCTCCACACAGCGGGCAAAAGAATTCCTGCTCCTCATTTTCTTTATTTTCAGATCTAGTCGTATCTTCTTTTTGGCAATTTATTCTTCTTCTTTTTTTCTTTTTTCCAATTCTACTTAAGAATTTTAATTCAACAAGTACATATTTTTACTTGTGTATGTTAATTATCTATTGACATTAAATAATATACGCACTACACGTTAATTGGACTATAATAATTTGAGTTACCAGGTTGCTGTAAAAAACTGCTTTAAGGACTGCTTTTTCTAATATGGGTATTTTCTAATATATACCCATAACTTTCCTTACTATTATTCTCTGTGCATAATAAAAAGTTATTATAATGATTACGAATCGTATTACTTATTAAAAACAGTAACTTGCTGAAAAACAAGCAATTGTAACAATTAATTGTCGAATTAGTTATTTTTAGAACCAATTCAATGAATTATGCAATTTATTATTGTTTTAGCTAGCAACACCAGCAGCTGAATTTTCAGATGTCTTTGAAGCCTATGATGACTCAGCTATATGTCCGCAGCTTGAAGAATTGACCAATACAATAGCAGGGTCACTTGATTGTCTACATCTTAATATCTATGTTCCTGATGTAGCGAGTTCCAATAATCGTTTACCAGTACTAGTTTGGTTATATGGTGGTGGCTTTAATAGAGGTTTTGCTGGGAAATATATTTACGGACCGAAATACTTAGTTAACCATAACATCATATTGGTAACCCTAAACTACCGATTGGGACCTTATGGTTTCATGTGTCTAAACACGCCAGAGGTACCTGGAAATCAGGGCCTTAAAGATCAACTAATAGCTTTAAAATGGCTAAATAATAATATTGATGCATTTGGTGGCGATATAAATAGAATTACTTTATTTGGTGAAAGTGCGGGTGGAGCATCTGTTGATTACCATTTGTTATATAATCGAGAAAAGCTGTTCAATAACGTCATCTTACAAAGTGGTACTAGTTTCTGCCCTTGGGCATTAACGCGATCAAATACAGACAGTCTATTCAAATTAGCTGAATACCTTGGTTTCGAAACTAATATAACAAATGAAGCTTTACAGTTCTTAGCAAAAATAGACACAAATTTAGTAATTGCCTCGATGATAGATTTGGACTTAACACCGACATTTAAACCTTGCGTCGAAACAGACTATGATAACACTGATAATTTCATTACCGAACATCCTATAAATGTGAAAATTGAAAATTTTAAAAATATTCCAGTACTTATAGGGTATAACAATGATGAAATGCTGTATCAGTATGGAATTAAAGAGCCTAGCTTTTTTAATAATACAAATGTATTTGAAGAACTACTGAATATTCCATTTAGTTTTGAAAGTTCTTATTATAAAGAAATGGAAGAAATAAGTCGACACTTTTATTTAGGCGATGAAGTGTTTAGTGATACAGTCCAGGATAGTATAAGAAATTTTGCATCTGATTTTCGATTTGTTCATCCCTCTGAAAGAACTGTCCAGAATTATATGAACAATGGAATTACAAAGATATTCCTATATTTGTTTTCTTACACCGGGGAAAGAAATTATGCTAAAAAAATATTCAATATTACAACTGGAAACGCAGCACATTCAGATGAAATAGGATATCTATTTGATGTATCTTTTTTTAAAGACAATCCATCACTTGAAGATCGAACCGTTATCGATCGAATCACAACATTATGGGCCAACTTTGCAAAGTATGGGTATGTTATAAATATTAATACATACTATTACATTCACTTTAATCATTCCAACGAATTATTTGTTTTGAGATTTAAATTAGTTTCTAAATAAATTTAATGCCTCAAAAATCGATCACTGCTGAAAGATTTTCATATGACACCCGAATTAAATTAGGTATACTTTCAATTTTTTCATGATTTTACGAGTACCTGTATGTATGTGCTTTGATATGTTTGTTTTTTTATTATAGCTAACTTGGTACGTCTATAATCTAAACATAAAACAAGATATTTTCTGACATAAAGGATATGATTTGTATGTAACGATTATCAATGTTCATTATCAAAAGCACCAGCACCAAATTGCGTTAAATTCTCTCGACAGACTTAACAACATATCTTCTCTACTTATATTTTTCAGAGATCCTACTCCCGAGATAACGGATTTATTACCTGTGAAATGGCCAATTATAACAAAAGATATGAGACCTTACTTAAATATAGATAAAGATATTAAAGTTGAGCATAGAAACTTCAATGATCGAATGGCATTTTGGGATCTTTTCTACAAATTGAACAAGAATTTTCAAATGGATTACACAGAAAACGAAGACCTGTAAGCGTGCCGTTCGTATTCCTTTATTTATTGGCATTACGTATGTAAACTAAGGTTAAAAACTATTTCTATTCATATGTTATCTATATCTGCCGTGTACAAACCATACTTTTGCGTGTGAAGAGTATTTTACACGAAAGGCTTAGTATTGTAATAGTTATAGTCATCAGTTAGTAGTGGATTATGTTATCTGTGGTAGTAGTTAGTAGTAGCACAGATAACATAATATTACATAGTAGTAGTTAGTATTTTATTCCTTACTTTGGTATTCTGTAATTTAATATAGGTATAATTTAATGAATGGAAATCTATTAAGTTATAAATTATTTTATAGTAATTTATATATAGGTATATTTTAATATGAAACGAAATAAGTTGTAATCCCAAGTGCTAACTAGACTATATGTCTAGCTTATAGTTATTGATAACTATACGCTTAAAACTGGGAGATTTGCAATATATGTATTTATAAGACAACCTAATTTCAAACCTAAGTAAAATATTGTCTTATTTTATTATTAATTTCATACAATTATGAATTAATTTTAATAAAACCATGTATTCTATGTATTTAGCATGTATATTTTATTATATACTTTAATAACAACTATATATTTTATTTATATTAACATCTAATTTTACGTTGTTGTGCTAATGAACAATATTTAAATATTTTTAATGGACTATTTTATAAACTAATACGATATTATTATCTTAACATTTGGTCAAATATTAATTCCAACTAACTAAATTAAATATGTCCAGTTCACAACACTTATACTTAATCGATATTTGACTATTTAATACGTAATTTTGTAATTTATTTATCTATTTTTCGTGTTTCCAGTCATATATTTTTCAGCTGCCACAGCAAGAGCTCTCGTTATCCGACCTGTCACCTCATTTAGGGTTTCATTTGAAAAGTCCCAAGAATCTACAGATCGTTTAGAGAAAAATGTGGCAGTTGAATCATTTGGTCGCCAACTGTTTGGATATACAATTTTATGTCTCAAAATAGCCTTAATTATTAATGCTCCTACGTAAATTATGAAATACACACTAAAATACAATGGCAAGTAGTATAACTTCTTTCCTAAATAATAATAACTGTACCTATTAACACGAGGCATTTCCGTAGTCGTTGTCGTTGTCGTAGTGTGATGGTGGTGATGATGGTAAAAACCGTGGTCGTCGTCGTGATATTTAAAATATCCAGGAAAATCATGTGGAAACCCGTTGTCGTCAGTATTCATATCTGAATTCATATCCATATCTTGTGACGGTTGCGGTGGCGGTGGCATCATACCTAAGTATTTTGTATCATCCCCACCTTTAGTGTCATTTCCAATCTTTGAATCATCCATGCTGCCATAGGGCTTATCATATATCAATTCTGGATAATCAGGTTCATAATGATACGGGGAAGGATCGTGATGCCCATAGGTAGGTAATGGCGAGTGAACTTCTGGTGTTGGAGCGGGCGCTGGTTTATTGTAGTGGTAACCATGAAAATCAGGTTTATCATCAGGGATGGAATTCATAGTTGGCTCTGGTTTATTATATGTATAACCTCCCATATTCATTACAGGTGGACTATTATAAGACATTGCAGGTTTATTATAAGAATATCCTCCAGCAATATTAGTGGGTGGAGTAGTAATAACCATTGGTGGTTTATCATAAGGATCAAATGGTTTTTTTACAGGTGGATTTGTTGGTACAAAAGGAGGGGAATTGTATTGATATCCTAGATCCATTGGCATTTCGTCCTTGTCACTGTCAGTTGGAGGGGAATCAAAGCCAGAGTCACTAGACATATCTACAGGGGGTGGGTACAATACAGAAGGGGGTTTTACTGGTGGAGATGATACCATTGGAACAGGATCTGGCGCAGACAGTGCATAAGGAGGAAATGACTCATAGTTTGTCGGCGAGGGAAAGTCATCTGCAGTTAATTTAGGTGGAGCCGGAGGTGGTGGTGGAACTAAATTAGCAACAGTTTTCGTTGGTGTTGAAATAGGTTTAGATTGTTTAGACTTACTCCCGTAATCATGAGGTAAGTATGGCTGTGCTGGATTATAGCGTTCAATAGGTTGACGAATAGAATTTACGTCTTCTACTTCACCTCTAACCGGATTTCGAATTTCTTGAAAATTATCTAAATTAGTATACATGCCATTTCCCTTTTTACTAGTAGGTAATGTATTTGGCAGGGGGTTTTTTGGGTTTTTTATCTGAAATGGTTTTAAGCTCACATATGGAAAGCGAATATTAGGTTCCGTTCGAATAGCTCGTGACTCATTCTCTGCTCCATTTCCTGGATTAGTTCCAAATCTGTAATTATAAAATAAAAAAAAATTGTACGTAAATAATTTATAAAAGTAGATATCAATAAAATTATTATATTATTGATGTACCCACCCTGGCAAAGCAAAGTTTTCGTCAATTGCAATATCTTCCTCGTTATCTTGATTTATTACTTTATTACTATTTAATGTAATATCTTTATTCACTTCTGATGTAATAGGTATTTCATTCCATTGGCCAGAGTACTGATTATATTTTTCACTATCGATTACGTGCCAAATATTCTTCACATCAACTGGTGTTGCGATTGTAGTAATAGTTGATGATTCCGTAATCGGCCTGATATACACGGGAGCAGGAGGAGAATCAGTATACAAATTAAAATTATCATTATTAGTTGGCTGTGAGGTCTCCTCGATGTTTTCTGTTATTGCCTCATAAAATTTATGTGTACTTTTAGTAATGACATCGTCGGGTACATATATTGATCCCATTGTAGTACTTGACTTGGCTTCTATTCTTTCTTTTTCTAAAAGTTTCCTTATTGATTTCCTCATATTATCACTGCTGTCTGATTCAAACTCGGCGAATATCAAGTCGGGTGTTTTGACTTTCGGTTTAGACGTTGTTGTAGTTGACATATTTTGCGGAGAATCCATCCTTTTAATCCAGTTATGATAGTAGAATGGCGCAGATCTTCCTTCGTTAGCTCCGGCAAGTGGCGATGAAGGTGTTACCACGTACACTAAAGGTCCAGGAATATTTAAACAATAGACATGAAATTTATATAAAAACACAAACAGTGTACACACAAAGACTATTTTTTTCATTTTTATAACTTTTTACATTTGTCTTTACTTCCGACTTAGTGAGTGAACCACTCGGTTACTGACTAGATAATGAGGAATAAGTATGTAGATGTTCAAATGTCAAACGTATTGAGCTGCCTAGTGTAAAATTGTGATAATTTTTAGCGGTACATGGATATGTAGCACGGCTGAAACACGATCCATATGACCTGCACCCGAGTTACAATTTACATTTATTAGCATAATAATCAATGTCACTTGAAGTAGGGTTAAAAGAAAGTGTTACATATTTGTACAAGTTATTTTGTTTATTTAGTATAGTTTATGTCAATCCCACGCCAAAAATCTACAAAAATTATGCTAAATGATCACAGTATCAAAGAATATACTTTTTCATATGCGCTATGTCCTAAAAATATATTCGTAATATATTAGTGGTGTTGAAATTATAAAGAATAACTTCAACATCATTATTCATTATGTATCTACAGCTGTTTGACTGTAATGTTTGCAGATTTCTGTGACATACAGCTATTAAATATTTTTGCAAATAGTATATATATAAAACAAATTATTGAATTTCATAGTATTTACTTTAAAAATATATTTTATATCTCAACTGTTACGTAATTACGACATATATGTAGTATCATGTTTTAGGATTGCCTTAGGGCTAGAATGTACAACATGACTATTATCTACCTACTTGTTTATCCGTCTAGCAATTTATTTGAAATTTGGAATAGTTTTTATTAGTCCAATTTTATCAGAAACATAAGATTTAATAAACATATTTAAAGATAATACTCGCAGCTACAATGTGGACTATTATATGAAAGGGGTTCATTTATAAATTCGAAAATCGGGTTTAACTTTTTTTTCATCGTTCGTTTTGTGACAGAAAATGTATAAAATAGCATTCCACCCTTATCTCAACTTATCAAACCGTTATCCAAAATTGCTAAAGTGGACAATCTAAATAGTTATAATCTACTAGTGGTCACCCAATGTTCGAAATTCGACCATAATTAATTTAAATTATAAGTTTGAACATTATTAAGGTTCTAATTCAGAATACACAACCTTTTTTTTATACTGAGTGTGGGGTTTTATATTAGATTTATATTTATATACTGAGTGAGCGGTATTTCACTAATAACTAATAAATGAATTTATTATGGTTATGTTTAACATTCTTACTGAATACTAAGATAGAGATAGTGAGAGAAAGATAATGTATGTGACTTTTTTTATTGACTTAATGTATATTTTATGCATGATATTAGCACTCTGCACTCCTCTATACAAACTATATTTCATACTCCTCCATCCACGCAATTTTCGTAAAATGGGCTACAATGTTTTTACTTTATGTAGATAAATAATATATAGATAAATCATATGTAAAGATTAGATATAAGAATAATAATACGATATTGCTAACGACACAGTTATTTTTGAGTTTTTGAGATGTCAACAAAGTTTCTTTGCAGACAAAATGTGTTGTTGGTGTTCAATTTCATAGTTACATTATTGACTTTTATGGATAAAATCAAATAATAAACCAAAAAAACTGTTACGTACTTATCTAGCTAATTCTTAAATGTAGGTAGGTACTCTTCTCTCTAAATATATTATCTCAACAAAAACTACAACTTACTCTATATTACCTTACCTTAAAAAAACTAAATTATTCATAAGTCAGTGTGTTTAATCCCACCACAGCATAGATAGAAAAATTATTTTAAAGTCTTTTGTTTATTCTAACATTATTTATTTTAATATCTAGAAATCAAATTGTTACAAAATATAACACAAAACAGCTTTAATATATTTTATTCGTAATAGATACAATAATTTAAAACCTATATACATTATTTGTCATTAATTATAATAATTGCTAAAACTACATTGAAAATTTTTCATTACATCACTCAAGGTATTAATATAGACTAAGAACAATATTTCGTTATTGTTCTTAGAATATAAACGTACCTAATTTTACCCGTTAGATTTGCCGTCATCTTTTCTTGTGTCATTCGAAGAAGTTTCTGTGTCATTGTAGGCCGGATTATCAACTCCCGAGTCACTACCGCCATCTATACTGTCAATAGTAGACTTATGTTGGTTCAAATCTAACACCTTTATTTTATCAGGCTCTTTGCTAGTGTTCGTTTTATCAGCGACATCTGTCGTTGAATTAACTTTATCAATGGCCATCGTTTCTCTACATTCGACATCTAAATCTGGTTTCTTTTTACAGATGTCGATGTCTTGATTTGAAACTTTCTTTCGGATGTAGAATTGATTGAACAAATAATAAATACATCCTGTTATGAAAGTTGCAGCCGCAAATATTTGATATGTTGGTCGGGTTCCGAAAAACTTCATCAGATAACCACCTATTAGACTTCCGGATCCCTTACCTGGAAAGTAATATTAATATGATGATTTTAATGTAAAGTTATATTAACATCCATAGTATAATATAACAGGTATATATGTAGTACATACATAGTAACGTGTAATAATCAGTCAAGTAATATACCAAATTAAGCTTCATTGGATTACCAATTTTAAATTATTGGAATACCAATGTTTAAAACTTTGTTTGTACACATTATATATATATATAATGTGTACAAGTTTAAAGTTTTATTTCTATACTCGTTGTAACTTACATGCGAAATGAAACCTTACCAACAACCAACGATTATTATCTCATACGAAATAATACTCATGTTTTGATTGACGAGTGTGAACAAAAAATTGTTATTACGATTTAAGTTAGTTTAGACCACAGATAACATAATAGTTAGACATATCTACATCAACGAACTTTTTTGCGAGTATTGATGAATATATGAATGCAATATATTATTTTATGTGTTGTCATTATTTTCGCAAATTAGTAAAACTTTCTGACTGACAAACGTTATTTTGCCATATAATTAATCAGTTATAAACTACTTAAATCCTAATTCGTCCAAAAAAAATTGGACCATCCATCAAGACGCAAAATATGTTTTAAGTGACACTTAAAACATATTTTACGTCGTATTCTTTCAGACCTACTAAATGTACATAAAGATGATAATTCAATAAGTTGAAGGATATTTTTTAAATGTGTTAAGTATTTTCAATATTTAAAACCGAACAAAAAAATCATCATCATTTTTTCCTATTTGTAATTTTGGAATAGGTTAATATTTTAATTAATATTTTTTTTCTTTATCAAATATTTAAAGGTACTATCAAGGAGTAGGAGGTTTTGAGCATGTCTTGGTCTTAGCATGTAAGCACAACATTGTTTATATTTTTTTTCTTTATCAAATATTGATTTTATGTCACATATACATAAAATATTTAAAGGTACTATCAATATTTAATAAAGAAAAAAATATAAACAATGTTGTGCTTACATGCTAAGACCAAGACATGCTAAAAACCTCCTGAACCATTTAAATGTAGGTATTCAAAACTTGAAAAATTATACATAGAATCCGTAATTATTATTAGCAAGAGTATCTCGCTAAAAATAATTAGGAATGTAGTATAGACATTTACGAAACTGGAACATAGTGACGATGAGAAGAGACATACCGACTCCGTAGTAGAGTCCTCCAAGTAATCCCTGCACAGAGGTATCCGTGGTGGTGGAAGAAAGGCGGGCGGCATACGTGACGGCGGCCGTGAATGACAATGATGACGTCACCGACTCCAGAGCCTCAAAGATCAGGCATAACCACGGGTTGTAGATTAGTGAGTACCCTGCATAACAGATATTCTTATTTTACTATAGGACGAAGACACTTTGCCCTACTATAATGTACTCAGCACTTGAATATGCTTACTAAACAATTTTATTCTTGTAAGAGTATTATCAAATCAAAAAAATATAAATAAATATCGCTATTAAAAAATAGGGGTTGACGGTAGAGGAGTAAAAATTTAGAGTTATATGTTTTTTTTAATTTCGAATGATAAAATACGAAAAATGTTATACATGAGTAGTAGTTCTGAGAATCTATTTTCTAATAGGTAAACTCAAAATCTTTATATGGTAAGATTGTGAAAAACAGAGTTCTTTGTAATAATATAATAAAGAGACGCCCGACTTCGCACGGGTATTTCAATTAAGCTATTGCTGCGATTTTTCATATAAATTTACTGTATACTGACTAATATGACGATTTAGATTTTAATGGTTATGTCACCTTTTCCATCACTAAGAGGTAACAAACTTTATTTATATTTTAATGTATACCTTAGCAAACATAATTACAAAATAGTGTATTATGCATATCCATAACATTAAAATAGTATCAAGACCAACTATGTAGACAAACTTACCAAGCAGTCTGATAGCATAAAAGATGAAACCAATGAACAAAACATTCGCGTGCCCCAATCGCCGGATGATAGGTCCTGAGAGCACTAGTAGTGGGAGACCAGCAATTCCTCCTACTGTAATAGTGATGCCCATCAAAGATCGAGATGCTCCCATGTCTTGGAGGAGCCAAAATAGAAAACTTTCTATATAACCCCACGCAGTACCTAAAAAGGACAAAATATATAAGTACCTTTTTACCTACATTGTATAAACTAAGCATCACCCGCATAAATTATTGTAATTATAAGTTAAATTATCTAGGCAGTATTTCGTCTACGTAGCATTTAAATCCTACGTAGTTTATTTATTATTGTAATTATCAATACATTATTGGTGGCCCCACTGGTGGAAATATTTAGCATTCATGTATGCATGCGGCCATGGTCTTTTATTTCGATATTTCTTTCTCTTTCTCTAATTTACTTTTAATCTGTTTCCTTAATCGTCCCTTTACAAGATCTTAGTAACGAAATGAGTGGAAACACAAGATATTCTTCTAATCAAATCAATCATAGAGTCAAATAATCCAAACCTAAGAACAATAATAGTTAATGAAACCAAACATTTATAATAATTTTTACGTATTACCAATACTATATAAGATTATTACTTCCGAATAACATAGATGCTGTGGTATATATTTTTCTGTTCATATAAACAATAATATAATATACAATTTTCAATGTTTCGTTTTATGTACTCAAATATATCCCAATTGAGTAGCAGGCAATTAATGTTACGAATTTATACATTATAATATTTTAGTCATTATTTAAACTTCATTCTTACCCATAATGAAGCAAGCAATAAATAGTGCCACAATTTCAATGTTCTTGAAAACACTTATAACATCTTCCAATAAATTCTGAGCAGGCTGTTTAAATTCCAAGTCGATACTCAGCATTAATACTCCAGATGCCACTTTCAAGATCGCATACAGGTAGAAAGCAGGTCTATGGAAATAAATTAAAACATAAATGACTCAGACACACATATTTGCTAAAGTAATAATATTGATAAACTACTGCCAATACAAAGTTGCCTGTATGGATATCTCTATCTCATGTATAGTCAAGCAGTTTGCTTTTAGTTTGTATTCACCATATATGTCACATGATGACATGATATCTGTATTGCTCTTTACATATACAAACCATACAAATATATAAAATTCAAGTACCTACTACATTTAGTATTGTCGTGGACTTCAACTGTGAATATTATAGAATTTTAAAAATCTAATTTGGTTCTTTGTTTCTGTATTGATTCCTCTATATTTAGTTAATGGTGTACCATGTACCATTAACTAAATACTAAATATAATTATATTATAATCTGTAAATATTTTGTAATCAGTAAAATGTGAATAAATTATTTTATTTTATTCACATTTTACTGATGTTTATAATAATTGTGTCATTTAGAAGAAGTAAGCGAAGAAACAGACACATAGCCGACAACAGCGACTTTGCTTTATACATTTTGATTTGATTTGAGATGCTAATAAAGCATGGTTCTGTAAGGTTGTAATTAAATTAATTGACATTATTAAGTAGATATCTTCATAATTATCCGCTAAATTAAAATTATTAAATAAATCCTTGAAAACTATGATATGGTATGAGAACTTATTGAAAAAATGAATACTTAGTAACATTAAACTGGTAATTTAAATTATTTAATTAACTTTAATAATAACTTAAACTAGTACATATATTAAGAAGTAGAAATTTGTGTCAGAATAATTCTTGTGAAAACTCGCACAAGCCCCTTGGAAGAGTAATTTTCAAGAATTTTATAAGTGTAGACCGTTTATTATAACTAATATATATTTACGTACTATTTTTACTTTAAAATTTTTTAAATGTATTTATTAAACTGTTTAAAAAAACAAATGAACATCACTCCAAACTGTTCGAATATTTTAAGGGTCTGGTTTCTATTTTCTGGGAAATAAATTCTCTGATAGGTATACCTATCTCTACAGTGACGCGTACCTGAAATCGGTATATCCTTTGCCACGACTAGCATAGTCTATTAGTAGACCCGACAAGGGCGATGAGATCATGCCTCCGATGCTACCGTAGACTCTTTGGAGTCCGTAGTCAGCCTTTTGTTCCCTAACAATAGCGATTACAGCGCCTTCAAACATTGCAAAAGCCGTCCCTCCAATGATTCCAATAAAGACACGAACCTAGAAACAGCCAGAAATCATCAATTTAGTAGGATATTAAACATCAATTAAATTAGTCCTAAACAATAAATTTATTCAAAGTGATGAGATGATAATAAAGACTTAGATAATAAAGATTAAAAACACATAAATAGGTCATTACAAAATTATCCTTTTTCAATTAATATAAATGCAAGTTTAATTATTTAGTGCTGACGGGTATGCACACGTGGTGTCGGTAAATACTTATTTTTTCTTAACAGTTAACTTCCAACCATATTACAGCGTTCTAAACTTAACAGTTTTGACTACGCGTTGATAGTCACAAACAACTCTATGAGTATAGATATGTATATGTAATACTATCTATACCCACAAACATAACTCCTATGCTTATGTTACAAAGTAAAAGTTTACGAAAGTTTGTAGTTTTGAATTGTACATAAAATTTTACTGCTCGTAAATACACAACGTTCCTTGCAATTCTAAAGTTCTAGGACAGATCTCTTAGAACTTATTTTAAGCCTTATTTGTATTTGTACTTCAAAATTACAACAATATGTTTGTATGTATGTTAAGCTTACAACCAGTCATAACATGTGGAACAAGGTCAAATCTACACTAAGTCTTGCGCAATAATATCCGCGAGTATCACATGCGGATGAAGGCGCAGAGCTAGCAATAAAGGTACAATGATCATTGAAGCATCACACAACTACAACCAACAGTTTAATTACTATACCTATCGCAGAACGGAATACAAGGGACATTAACGTAATTGCATTACTTATTACCTAATTATAGTGTAAGATGGTAGATACACATGGGCGATTACTTAATAAGCATCCATGAACATAATAGTTGTATTACCAAGAATACATGTAAGAACTGTCCTGTATATACATATGTATCCGTCTATATATAAATATATATTGTAAATACTAAAAATACATACACTATATACCTCTAAAACATCCATACCAAATATATTATACATATAAACACTCATACTTATGAATATACATTTTTTTATTGTGCGAATATTTAAATTTGCCATCATAGCAAATAAGGCGGTATATTAAATCGCTAGACCACTTATGAGACTCGATGCATAAACCTTAGCCCTGGTATGGATAACATAATACTTACTATACATACATACTACTAATATCATTACATTAATATTGGAATACCTAGCACCTATCCCAACTATAATTTAATTAAAAATCAGTAGTTTTATTAACCAATTGAATGAATTGTTGATTAAGAAAATTACTTATTATTTTACTATAAATACTATATGTTATTCCCAAACAGAAAATATAAGAAAAGTATTATATTATAATAGACGTAACATACTATAGGTATATACTGTTTATCAACACTGCATATTAATTGTAAGTATTTGTAAGAGAATTTAAATACTATATATCACTTAAATCATTCCGAAGGTTACGTCCTACGTCTCAAAACAAAGTTATTATACCGTTTTATAAATAGAGATGTTATTAATAGATTCAAGAAACAATTACTAACGAGTCAATCATTATACTTATTTCATTATTTGTGTTAATATAAATGTAGTAAGTAGGTATAATATTTGAATTTTAAGTGCAATATTTGAACTTTTATTATATAAATATTCTTAGTATTCACCTTGCCATTTTACTACCCATCAGAGAAAGCTTCTCTCTCTCTCTCTCTCTCTCTCTCTCTCTCTCTCTCTCTCTCTCTCTCTCTCTCTCTCTCTCTCTCTCTCTCTCTCTCTCTCTCTCTCTCTCTCTCTCTCTCTCTCTCTCTCTCTCTCTCTCTCTCTCTCTCTCTCTCTCTCTCTCTCTCTCTCTCTCTCTACAGCCTTTTAAATGCAAGGTTACCTTATAAATAAATAAATCGTATTGATAAAATTTGCTTTACTATGTGTAGGTTATACTTAAAAACAATTTAATTTTCGTAATAAGTATAAATTATAAATTTAAACATAGAAATCATTTGAAGGATTTGTATATATCTACATGAGTATAGGCGTATAAGAATTTAAACAAGAGTAGGCAAGGTTTCGCAACAGTCACTGGTTATTTATTATGTAGTGACTGCGTATATATACAACTTCTTAATCTTGACTTCTCTTGATAAAATTGGCAAAGACTTTGACCTTACTTTTATTGTAAATAGACATCGTGTTGACTTTAACAACACAGAATGTTCATTAATTAATTGAAAGTCAAAAAACATTGCTCAACAATAATATAATTGTTTAATTAGTAGCACCTCTAACCAAATTGTAATTTCTTTAGACAGGTCGCACAATAGAAGAAGAAAATATATGATTTTCTAAATTTTTCCTACACTTCCTACCCTTGGAACTGATTTCTACCATGATGTAGGTATCAATAGTGTATTGTTATAGCATTTTTCTCGCTTGACCGAGAATCGAGAAAAATATAACAAAAAGTAGAAGCGCAAAGAAATGTATAATGGCACAAAGCTGGGCGCAGCAGGCGACTTGTACGAATATGTAGGCAATGGACCGGGTCAGGCGCCCGCCGTATCAAGTTCGCTATTACCCAGTTAGTTGCTATTAACCGACAATCTTCCTATCAGCGGTTCCGTCGGTCAATCTGCATATGTTTACGTTAAGGTTCCACGTGTTCGCAACCACGACGAAAAGTAGTTAGTTAATTAATAGAAATAAGTTTGTCATCAAATAACTAGAATATTGTTTTTGAAGTTTGATAGCGAAATTTATCAATCGCTATGCACGTTAATGCACCAAAAGAGGTATAACCGTAACAACGCGCCATCAAATTACTACGCCTTCTTGAATTGGTAGTATCTACTATGTAGTAGTAGCAATATTATTTACGATCGATACGATCTCGGTCCGCTAGCAGTTGACCATTATCACATGTTTTTATGACTCCTAATGTTGTTAACTCGCTGACGAGGTTCTACGATATTTTTTTCTCCTTACTCTTATTTTGTATATTATAGCGACGGTTTTGTGTTATATGACAATGTAACTAGTGCTTACTAAAATATATGTTACATTATTGAATATGCAAATATACAAACAACACACGTAAATTATATGGACTTCCGTAAATAGGAATACTACGTGATTCCTAAATTATTTTTTTACTGTTACCTACCTTATTTTATGCAAATAGGTACGAATGTAACGGATACTTGCCGAGTTCAGCTGTATAACAGAACAAGAATATACGGAAAAGAACCAAATGAAAGTGCTTTGGTTCTTTTTCATTGACACTTTCCGGACAGGATAACATCGGCCGGGTCAGATAGTTTTTATATAAGTACTTAATGCTTACTTACAGCAAGATAAGCCCAGAAAGTAAAAGCAGGATCCAATTCTATCTGTTTCTGTTGATTATCACACAACTGATTCCGTGTAACTGCAGAGGCACAAGCAGCTGAACATTGTTTCAACTGCAACGTCTCTGTTTGGACCCGCACGCCATTCACATTGTTAGCCTGTTAAAACGATATTACAATAAGAACATACACCTATAAACTAAAAAATTAAAGCTCCAACAATTCAAATTGTTGGAGCTGTTATGTATATCATTAAATATTTACTTACAAAATTATCTTTACATGTAACACCGTCAAAATCTCCATCGATTTCTGTTATATTTGAAGCAGATACGACTCTCACAGAGTAATCCCGAACGTCGGCAGACGCTATTTGTGCATCAGGAGAAATTCTGACATAATAATTCAGTTCCTTCTGTTCTTCTGCTAATTCCATAAATATACTATCACTACCTAGAGAGCACGTAGCATTTGTGCTATCTTGTAAACAATCCATTATAAAGAGTTTCGGCGCTGGGAAGAATATTTGATCATTGGAAACTTTGGAAATAGTCGTATTTATATAAGGGTTGTTTATCATAATGCGTGCTGTACTTTGGTCCTTCATTGAAGCCATCGTATGAGGTATCATTGAAGTTACTGTGTGTCGGTATATGAGACGCTGTTCTGTTTGAGATTGCAATTTTACATCATAGGAGTGAGTGTGTGTTATGGCTTCTATTTCATCCAATGACAAATGATCTGGTACATCACAGACAAACCCACAAGATAGTACCCTAAAACAATGGACATTTATTGAATATTTATTTGAACAATATTATGGACACTATAAAACAAATAGCAAGAAGCTCTTCCATCATATTATTACTGATAGAGTATCGATAAGTGTCAAATTTTGTATTCATTAATTATTTTTCAGGTTACTCAGGTTGGTTTTATTCACACACGTGCATTAATAATTAATATACATATATTTAATAATAATACTATTAATCTGTAATAAAGAATTATACATAGTACCAAACACTAACAGGAACAGCAACAAAAATATATCAGTTTCGTGTAATACCCATGACGTTGCGATTCCTAGATCGCTTTTAAAAATGTGTTTTCACCAAAATACATATGTAATATTAGATCTGGCCTTATATAGCCATTATTAATTCGTACAAAATTTACTAATTTATAAGAAGACACTTACGTGAGATTAATGTCGTATGCATAAGGATGTAATGGCACACAAGGATAATCATTCATATGGCGAAGATGCAGACCATCGGTGTTGCAAGTTGCAAGAAGCTCTACAGCAGCGGGAAAGGTGACGGTTATTCTCCCCACGGGTACAGCCAGTAACAACAATGCCGTTGCACCACCCAGCGTCGATGTTAAAGCCAGCAGTAACTGTATCAAAATATAATTTTATTTGCAAAAATAAATATATACTTCTTAATTTTGGTACAGATAAGATAATATCTTTTGGTGAATATTTTCTTTTCGTAAGTATTTTTATACTGAAATTTATCACTAAGGGAATACACTTATTGCCAAAGCCCTTCATGACTTCTTGACGATCTTAATGATCGTCGTCAATATTATTACTAGGATCTAATTTTACACAAAAATACCGCCATTTTGTGTAGATACTATTGGATGTGGTATTTGTATGAAGCCTATATGACAAAGAGTTACATAGCTATATCATCGTAGCCAGGAAGCTTTTGCGCTAGTGCAAAGAGTATCTCTTTAGTAGTCCCAGTATCTCTTTAGTAGTCCCAGCTCTACATGCACAATGTTTCCTAAATGCATAAAAAACGCTAAATTCATTACATTATAGTAATCTATCTCATCTAAGTACTTATATAGAAAATATATAATTTAAACCATTTCATAACATATTTTTATCTACGTTATCGTTTTAATTATAGAATTCAATACAAATAAAGAAAATTGAGATTGATATATCTCGCATGTCAATTCACAATGAAGTCACTCGTATGGAAAAAAAACGACACACAAAATAAGTACGCAAATTATAGGGTATTGTGAGAAAACAACAGGATATGGCGTGTATGAAGCATGATCGACAGAAACGAATAAATTGCTGTTTTAGGTTGGTACTTAATTGAACTTCGGTCTCGGCAAATGTCATCCAAGAATAGAGATGTTCGAATGCATAACCCGTAACGCTGTACCAACGTAATTACATACACTTGATTGTCACGGAAGTCACAAGGCAATTAAATCCATAGAACTACTAGATGAATAAAAACTATTGTTTCAAGCAATAACATCGATAAAAAAGAATTATGAAGAATATTTATAGTTAAATCCTGTCAATTATATTGTAAGCAAAATACTACTTTGATATAGCTAAGTACCAAAACCCTAAAAGACACTTAAAATTAGAGTAAATTTAAAATGTAGAAGAATTTCCTAAAGTGTGTTGGATACGATTATATTCCGATTGATATAATAATTAAGTTAAATAGAAAATGCTCTTTATCATAGACAACCTCGGTTGTTCCCAATCACGCACGACACAAACATTTATATTCAAGAGTATGATTGATTGTATCGGTCTAGGTGTTTTCTATATACGTTATGTAGTATTTACAAAAAATAATATTTATTATTTATATCAGTTATTTAGTAACACAAGCTCTGCTTAGCTTGGTAGCTAGGACTTGATAGCGCTATGTGAATTAATCCTGGGATATCCTAGTAATGAAATACCTAATGCCTATTCAAAACTGCGTAACAATTTATAAAATCGTTTTAATAAACTAATGACGTAAGTTTAACTGTCATGTGTAAATAATCTGAACAATAAAATATACGCTATTGTCTTTTGTGACTCCATCAAACAAAGAGTACCTTCATATTTTGGTCAGTAGCGTTCATTTATTACGTGGATATATTAAGCGTCGCAACGAAGTTGCTTCCGGCTGGCTAGTTGTGAACTTGTGACGCGCGCATATCAATACGGGACGAGTTGGTCCTATGGACGATCGTTAACAATACAACTACAATGCAAGGTAAAGGTTATTGTAACCAGGAATGATTGTAATTCGCATCACGGATGCTGTACATTAAGTCGATTAAATCGAACCGGAACGTCCCCGGAAATGAAGGTTAAATAAGCAATCAAAAAATTATAAAATATGTATAACATCGACAGAAGTGGTAATTACCTACATTTTGTTACAAATCTTCACATTATAACTATATTATGATTATATACAATAATACCTACTACAGATTACGGCAATATTTCGCTATATAATGGTTATGATAGATGTAGTAAATGAGAAATCTGGATGTTATTTTCTATGTAACTACCGTACGAAACTCTACAATTTAAATATTGATGCAAAGTAAAATACCAGACACATAAAAATCACAAAAAATTCCAAATATTCAAACACTCGCCCTACTCAGGTTCCTGTACCTCATAAGTCATGCCTTAACAAACTTGGAGCCACTTCAGATAATGAACTACCGCTCTACCCAATAATTTTATACGAAATGTTATATATGTAACTATAAAACTACTACTTAAACTTTAAACAGTATTCAAATATATTTAGACAATGGTATACTGAAAATTACTGATTAAAAACCATATTAAATAAAAAAAATACATCTTTAAATTTAATAGGTTTGTGTGATCCTGAACTGAAGAACAATAAAACAAATGTATATTTAATTACCATGTTCTCTCATTTTAACTGTGTTCTCTACTACTAGCCTTTTCCATTGCCTAGTCTTTTTTTACAATATCATGGCTAAAATATATACCAAACGTTGAATTGTTTTAGTTTGTAGTTGTGTTCCATATCTACATATATTCTATATATAGGTAAACATATACAAACCCTAAAATTTCCTATTTTGTCGGCGAGCATTCCAGCAAGTGGCGGCATCACTATTGAAACGACAGGCGTCACGGCTGACATTATAGCCGTCTCCTCCACATTTATGCCAAGCTCGCGCATATGTATCGTCAGGTAAGGATACAACACAAATAAAGCTGAAATATACAAATCATACGTCACAAATCAAGTAACTGACATCTTATTGAATGACGAGGATGTTTGATTTTATTATCAATTAAACTTCATGCCTTTTTTATTGGGTCTAAATTTATTACAATGTAAACAAGCTTTTTGTATAATCTGTAGATATAAAATATAGGTAGGTATATGTAATATTAAAATGAGGTAAAGTATATAAATTTGGATATTCTATAATCGGTATCTAGATACCGATTACAGATTACTTATTCGATTTTGAAAATTAGTTTAGCGTTGGATAGCCCATTTATGCAGAAAGGCTAAAGAGTATATCAATTCACACTACGACCAATATGAGAGAAGCTGTAAAGGAACGTGTCGCTAAAACGGGGAAAATGTGATACTGACGAAGTTCCGCGGATGTACATGATGAAACACGTATTAAACGTTACTGAGTGTCAATAATAGTAGTTATTACTATAATTATACACTCACTTGATGCATGTACGAAGAATAATATCTTCAGCGGTATTAGTTTTTTCTGTTTGAGATCATCAGTGATCCTTTTAAAGAAGGAACGTAAGAAATGCATGTTGGTATATTTCACTAATAGGTAACTTTATAATTGTACAGTCATGTGTTAGGCGCCTTCCACGTCACGTAAGTACGTGAGAAAATTCTTCTTCACCCAGCCTCCCACATGTATCCCTTGTCGATGTACTTGATACATATGGAAATTATATTTTTTGTATATCTGAAACAAGATTGTGAATATTATTTATACAGACAATAAACATATATGTTACAAACACGTACTAGACATAGCATACATACTAGTAAGTACTGTAAGCGGGATTTGCGGTGAGTCCTGTCCCGTTTTAAAACTGTGGTGGAAGCTATAAGAAGTTTTGGCGGCAAAATAATGCAGCTCAGAGACTTCATGTCTTAAGAGAGCGCCAGGCTGCGGACTTTGTTAGGTATGTCCAAATATAAAAAATATAGTTTTTATTTACGAATCGCACTTACTTTTGATGAAGTACCTGTAATACATATCTCTACACCGACGATATTAAAAGTGCCACCGGCATATAAGGCTCGATCTAATAATATAATAACAAAAGTAATATAATAAGTACCTATATAATAATATAGTAACCGATTCCATTTTGTTTATTATCTAATTATAGTTCCCTAAATAAATAAGAACAATTAGAACGTCGATCGACGCCATTCAAACAATAAAATTAGATTATACAATTTTGAGAGCGTGTGCATACCTACTATCTTAAAATCCACAGAATCGTATAATGGTTCTTTGTATTTTATCGCCACAAAATATACACAATTCCAGTGTACGTGATTTCTGTGGAAAAACATTAGGTTACGTATTGAATCACGTTTAAAATTCCTAGTTACATTGCAATGTTAAATGGTAAATACCTAATATGATAAACTAAACCAGGGATTTTCTGTACAAATATTAAATAAACATAATATTTGTACAGATTACTAAATATCGTGATATTTCTGTTACGATGCTGTTTTATCGGTTTTTCTTATACAAAAGTACCTAGCTACTTGCCTATTTGGGGGTCTCACATTTTATATCTTTTCTTATTTTATTTATAATGCTTGATAACTATTATTTCTCTCCTATACAACATATTGTAAATATTACTTGATGGATTTACATTAAAAATATAAATATATTATCGAATTTAATTATAATTGTTTTATTTTACTCTAATGATATTCTGTTTGAATAAATGCTTTCGCTGCGACTTTGATTATTAAAAAAGATTTTTGAAAATTAATATTCAGTAAATTAACAAACCTATAAGCCGTCGAGGCCAATTTTATGTAAATTTGCCAACATAGACTGACTTGACTCAATATAACTTTCATCTACTTTTGCCCTCTTATACCCATACCGTTACCTCACGCAAGAGAACTAATTACTTATCACTCACATTTATCATATGATATATTAAACGTCATAGGATTTCATTTATTCCGAATGATAATAATGTTCTACAGACGTAATTGCGAATATTGCATAGCTCACAATTAGGTAAACATAGGTATTAGTCATTAAAAAATATATTATTATGGGTTTAGAATTATCTAAACCCATAATAATATATTTTTTATTCTAAACCCATAATAATATATTTTTTAATGACTGGTTTCAATTATGAGTCGTCCTGGTGAATTAATTAAGAAAATTTTCAATTTCTGAAATAGAATAACATTGTGTATATTTCCAAATATTTAATTACCCATATAAAGATGCTTCTAGACGTTTCTATGCTTTCCATGTGATTAAATCACCAGTATTTAAAGTAGGTACTCTCGAACCAATATCAAACCTCGCTGACTTTGTAACTTTGTCGCAAAAGAGTGAAATTAATTTTTCCTTATAAGCGTCATCCAGTTTTGTAGCTCATGTTGCCCGTGGAATACTTGTTTATGTATGTTACGTTGTCAGAGTATCAAATAAAAATTATCTTACGAATATACCTACTTAAGTGATTAGTAGGTATGTCTCGTTTATTACGTAGTCGTTCAATATGTAATCACAATTTGTTTTAAATACATATTTGCTAGAATACAATATCTACAAACGTATACGTTTTCAAGAATAAGTAGCCCAGTTACACAGAAAATTTACAATAATCAGGGCATACATCAATTCCCATAACTTTTTGCCAAACTACTACACCATTACTTTTTATTGCTATATTGTTATGAATGTTTTATGTATTGATAATAAATTTAGGAATATGGTAATTGTCTATTACCCATAGAACCAAAAAAACTGGCCCTACCCTCCTGGGTCACAAGGTAGTTACGGCCATGTCCAGCTTATACCGTTAGCGCAGACGAGTGCACCATTTCATTATTATTCAACACAAAGACAGCATATTCAGGATTATTTATTACTTATTGATTAACCATACCAAGAAACTTACTTACATACCTACTCTGAATCTAGTTTACGTGTAGCACTGTATATGTAAATGGGTACATGACTGAGTAAAGCCAAATACATTATTTAGATCTAAATTGCAATAATAATTGTCGTAGATATTATACTTTCCTGCACTTGCACGTTGAATGTTTTGTGTTATTCTTTTACGCTCTCTGTTGATTTAAGCACATACCTACTTAGGTATACGGTTTAACTGTCAGTATATAATAGATCTATTTTTCATTAAATGTATGTCTAATATTTAATTACAAAAGTAAGAATTTTATTGTTTATCTGTATAATGTAAGTAAAATATTTAAAAATAGTATTTAAATATTTTCGAGATCTAAATAATATAAATATTATTTTTATATAGCAATAACAATGAATAAATATAAAATATCCACAATTTTTAAACTTATACTCACCGCAGTACTGAATTAAAAACCTTATCAAACTTCACTTCAATTTTTATCGTTTGCTCTTGAAGCAAGTACACTTCCTACAGTAGGTAACTACAATAGTTTTCAAATATTGCTATATTAAAAATTTTATTTTGTCAAATCGTAGACTTATTTTTTATAGAATCATTTTACTGTAAATCAATGTATACGTATAAGAGCGGACACGACTATGTAGATGAGTTCAAGCGACCGCAAGTAGGTAGGTTTTGCTCGACACTAGCGGCCTGGCGCTGGCGCAACCCTGTGCTCGTCCCAGTTCATATTCGAAACACCATTCATATGACGATAGTCTGTTATAACAAACTGCGTCTGCAAGCAGTGAAAGGCAGTTACGGACTATGTAATGTTGTTTTCTATGCAAATCAATCAACAACCGGCAACTTATCAGAGGATCTATTGACTTTACACCACAATTAAACCTCACAACTAGATAGAGGCAAATATTATAATTTTATAATATTGTTTTGCGTAATGTTAGTTCATAACTGAGTTCTCTTGTACTTAGTGGACAATTTTTGTGAATGATTACGTTAAGTAGGACAGGTACAAAGGCCGCAACCTGCCTGTAACTGAACAACAATATTAAACTGTTATATGTTGGAACATATACATATTACAAGCGTTAGTTGTCTATGTCCATAACCTATGGACACACAGCATACGTTATTAAAATACTACCTACAAGGATTCCCACCACGTTCTCTCTCTTGTTCACAGCTGGAACTACGACGAAGTCTTCGAAGGAACCTGCGTCATTAATTTTATTATAGAACATTTGAATGGTATCAGTTTTCTACTCAATACAACTATACCTTTATTGTTTAAGAACAATCAAACTATTATGTATTGATACATCTTATTTTAGTATTGATTTTAATATTTACAGTCTAGACACATAGCTGGCACATATGGAAGTCATTGGGATCCTTCATTTATCTGACCACCTGCAATATTGTCGGTGGACGACAAAAAAGTACAAAACGATTATTTTTATATATATATATATAAGTATCAAACTAAGGTTTGTAAGTTATACTGTATATCCTTGACACGGATGTATACTATGATAGTGATAGGATAATCTTGTCAACTCTGTGGAATTGCAACATCTTCAATTAACTCATTGTTCTTCATATTTATATTACAGTCGTAGTCAAATGACTACTGCGACCGACAGGTTGACTTCTACGCGGTTCGCCCTGGAAATCATCGTGATAAGAGCTTGGTGAATTTGTCACGACGGGCTAACTGTGCTGACCTCATGCTCAAATTGTCATACTCTACTGGTGCCCCGCCAGCATAATCCGTTTGAGCAAGCGGGTGCCCATTCCATCCAAAAATACATATACATATGATGGACGAACATAGTGTATCCTATGTATATCAGTCTATGAGTAAAAGTAAAAAAAAAAAAGACTGATGCATGTCAGTGTATCAAACAGTGAATTTGGAACATATTGTGTCAGATAACAATAATAATAACTTTGTTATTATTATTATTACACAGGATTCTTTGAACCCTGTATAATTTCATATAGCCTTCTCATTCCAAACTAAGCAGAGCGTGTGCTATGCGTACTTACTGAAATAACTTTGTTTTTGTAAAAACTCACATATCGAAACACCAAAATTATTATGAATATACTTAAGAATACTAATGTTTTTTTTGTTCGGGGATTGACCTATACCTAATGTAATATCTGAATATATATTTTTTTCTATCAAATGAACATTTGTTATTTATTAACGTCAGTCTTTCAATGATGTATGATAATACATTCTTCGATTACTAGTTTTCTTTAACGAGAAGCATAAAATACATGGCTCGATAGTGTCGCACCTCATCCAAAGGCAAATTGAATTAGGTACTTAGACAAATCATGATAGACGTGAGCATCTATCTACTCGTGTCATTGTGTATTGTGAACAATATAAGCACAAAGGATCACACAGGAAATGACCACAGTATACATTTCTGCAATTACCAAGCTGAGACCTTATATAATAATGCTGTATCAATTCCACCATCCACCCATCGTAGAGCCCATCTATGGGTCTATGTCTATGGTGAAACAATTTCACCACCATAGTGCCATGTGATAAACAAAATTTATTTTGGTGTCATACGTCCTTATTATTTAAAAGCAGGTGCTTCTTGTGTCATCCCATGTAAAAAACTGGATAAAATTTTATCCAGTTTTCACAAGTAGTTTTTTTAATTATCATTCATAATGCTAATTAATTCGAGTTTTTCACGGCCTTTGTAATATAACTATTTAAATACCTTCTTTCAGTGTTTTTATATTGTTTCAGTGCACAATAAACAATTTTCTTATATTTTTACAGAGGTGGATTGCTTTTAAAAATATAAGTATATATAGTAGGTAATATCTCGATTTTAGCGGTGCGATGCGCACAGCTACATACGCGTAACTACGTACCTTAGTACAAATACTTACGTAATCGTTATTTATTTATGAAATTAAGTATTCATAAATATGTTGTTAGGTTATAAAAATATGGTTATAAAAATATAATATTATTTTTATGTTTAACCAAAGTTACAGATTATAATTAAAAGTAATAATTAGTCAGTCTTGTATTTTATTAAGAGGACTTTATAAGTCTAATATTTTGAAGAAATATTCAACTTCTAATAACCCATCTTCGGGCAAATCACTACAGTGTATTGCATTCTGGACCTTGGTTTTTCCTAGCTTTGCTCTTAATGTATGAGGTCGCAGTAGTCTCGCTATATCCTGAAATTAAATAAAAAGAAAGCGATAATAATATAGCATTATTAATTAGTATTTGTAACTGTGTTAATAAGTAAAACTCCTACAGGATCCGAAGGTCCGACTAGTTTTCTAAACTCAACAGCACTGTTCACGGTTTTATCTTTAGCAACTATCTCCATGGCGACACACGGTCCACTAGATAGCTCTTCCACCATGCCCTGTAACAATTAATTAAAACATATTTATATATTACTTCTACCCACATCATTACAATAAACATACTACTTTTAGTACCTATAGAAACATATTTACAGTCGACAATTCTGACCCTTAGAACAACAAACGAAAGTTTTGACTTTTCATTATTTAAAACATTGTTCACGGTCTCAGTGGTCCAGCTGTATGCTAAATATACTGCCTTATTTTCGCAAGACGCGGGTTCGATTCCTTGCATGAATCAAACATTTGTATTCATCAGTGTAATACTTTTTATCGGTCGAGATGTCGTATGTCTAGTACCCATAAAAAAACTTTAGTTGGGACTACGGGATAGCGCTGAGATAATTGTCCAGGGTTATCACTATTATTATAAAAAAGAGACAGCCATATATTGTGATTTACAGTGCATGATAAAATTTTACCTTATATTCTGGTACAATTCCCTTATACACCTCATAAAACTCGGCAGCATTGATATTCTCAACAATGAACATATTTAGTGCCGTAACATCAAATCCACCTTCGTCAATGACTTCCAAGGCGGTCCCCAGTTTGCCTTCCCGAATGGCATGTGGTTTCACTATACATAATGTGCAATTGGACAATGTTGCCGTCAGTCGTAGCCGTACAGAACGAAGTGGGGGTGGTGGAAAAAAATATTCAATGTCCTAAAAACAAATAATCCGTAAGTTTAATGTTTTAATAGATCCATCACAACTCTGATTATGTATAAGAATAAGTAAAACAAAAAAATATCCAAATAAATTTGTTAATTTAACATGAGCTGAACACGTAAATTACCTTATCGATTACAAAAATAAATATTAAACTTTTATGTTGAATAAGATTTGATTGATAAGTAATATATTTTATGTTATTATTAAATTATTATTTTAATAAAAACATACACTGCACAAAAAAAAACTGCAACTCTTATCCGTTACCGCCTATTCGTTTTACATCCTTACCATTTGCATAAAACACTCCCATAATTAAGTTAACGTAATGATTATTATTACTCACCTTGTGCCAAAATAGGTATAGACATTATATATGAAGAATAGGCATTTATTTAATAGTAAAATATAAAATAATCTACAGGATAAATTTACTGAGTACTGAAAATCCCAATAGATACTCAGAAATGTTATACTTTGAAGTTAAATGGTCGATTGAGTGAATATTAAGTATGTATATTGTAAAAAAGCTTTTAAACAACTACAATATTTATAGGTTGTCAGAATGTGCCTTTCATTTCATTAAATACAATTCAACTTGCAAATATTGTTGTTTGTGTATCAATTTATTTGTTTTGGTGACTACTATAATAATCTTTATATACCTGTACTGCAGCGTCTTTACTAGGTGAAATATGCACACAGTTTCGTACTGGATCAGTTCCATACAGGGCTCTTATAGTACCTGGGGCAGCTTTTGTTGGATCTTTATCTCCAAGAATATTAAAACAAACTGTTAGTGCATCCTTCCCAACCAGCTCTAATCCATATACCAACTGACCCGTAAGAAAATCTAACAAAAATCTAAAAGTAAAAAGGGCTTTTACAAATTATTATTATTTTACTACAACATAATATTGTACAAAATTATTTGCATGTAAATATTTTATGTTCAGCATATTTATAATTAATTAAGATTTATTACCACTATACTATAACTATATAGTGGTAATAAATCCTAATTAATTATAAATCAACATTTTTAAGTTAACAAGTACTTTATTTTTTACAATATTTACAGTCAGTTACAAAGTTATTATAGTAAAAAGTATTCAATTAAAAATCATAACCATCATTATTACATATCATATACAAGGAAAGAATCTTGGCTCCTACAAATATAGCTCACACACTTGCTAAATTTTTTCTTAGTATATTTAGTATAATTCGTTATAAATTAATATTTTTTTATTCATAATAAGATCCTAAGTGTTTTTCAGAATTATAATTAATTATTAGTGTAATAATTAATTATAATTCTGAACTTTAATGACTTTTTTTATTTAAATCCCAGTTTCGTACTAAATTTATTAAGCTTAATATGTAGTTTATATTGTGGATCAAAATGTTGCATCTTATTGACAAATGACATTTATTATAAATTGTTTATTATGAAACATACATTAGATGTTTTTTCTTGCAATATCAGAAAATTAAAGAGCAAATTCTTGACATAGGAACATGTATTGTGGTAAATACTGCTAAATTATGTCTTACAAAATGGGTATTTGACAGTAGTGAACAAACTGAGTCTGTATTTAATATATCAGAAATTATAATTCGAATTATGTTGTTTCTTACCAATGATATGATTATTCTAATTTTATCATACTGAATATTTTAAAAACTCACGGAAATGTTGGGTCTGTGACCTGAGTGGCATAAATTATATTAATATCATCAGCAGTGAGTATTGCTTTCTTCATCTTGGTCACTCTGAGTCCATGTTCGTAGAAATGTGTTATTATTTTACCCACCACATTGGTTGGTACTGGTTTGATCATAGCAAATGTGCTAAAATTGTAAGTTTTACAAACCATTATTAATAAAGATAAAATTAGTAAAGTATGCATAATATTGACGGCGTCAGTGGTCTAGCAGTTTAGCACACCACTTTACTTCCAATGGTTGTAGGTTCGATTTATCTGGTTTATCATGGTGCAAACATTTGTAGGTAGTCATGGGTATGATTGTTTGTATTGCTCTGGATATTTTCTATGTATATTATGTATGTATTTACAAAAAATACATTCATGTATTTTTATCAGTTACCTAGTGCCCATAACACAACCCCTGCTTACCGTGGGACTAGTTTATTTACTTATTTAATATTAGACACTACAAGATACTTGTTGCATGCACTATTACTTTAAAAAGAAGTTATATACAACCCTATTGTGAAATGTATAAATATTGAATAGGTTTTTAATTTTTAATCCATAATATACCTACACTTGCATGTCCTTATGCAACTTCCTTTTAGTAGCTTCACAAGCAAAGTCAACTATTTTTATTAAACGGCCTAAAATGTATAGTGTACATCCAATATAGAAATTCTCCAAAGCAATTCCATCTACTTTAACTCGTCTCACGAAAGTTTTTCTATTTTTTAAGTCATATATTTCAATGGTATCATCAGTAGGATAATAAAACACATTGAACCGGCGTACCAGGCTTGCCTGATTATCATACCATTCACCAACGAATGAATATTTATCTGTATACGCCCCGTCCTGAAAAGAATTTTATTATTTTTCAATAATGATATCCTTGCCAATCCAATGGTTTTGGATATTTCAAAATACCATTCAACTTCTTTAGAGTGGTTTCCGACTATTTTAGATATTGGTTTAGTTTAAATTTATCATAGACATATAATTATTACAATAGAGTTAAATTTTTACCATTAGAACGTCAATTAAACTATATTTAAATAGTAACAATACAATTTTTTTGTACACGGAATGGAAACTTATAAACAATTACAAAATTTTGTTTTGTTTACAATTTCTACAAGAAACAACTGTCATTAATGTCAATGTCTGGTGCAAATCGTTCGGAAAATAGGGATATTAAAAAATAATCGATTTTTATTTTCTTATAATCGTTTTTTTTATTCATATTAACATTAATCGATTTTCATAAACAGTGTTTTCACTTATCGTTACATTTTATTTTAAAATCACTCTTACGTAAAACGAGACTGAAAATTAGTACAAGTAATTAATTTTCGTCTTTTGATTGTTTAAACTTAAAGATTAACGCAAGATTTGTTTTATATTTTAGTTTTTGAGACTACAACGTAGTCGTTTATTTTATTAATTATCGTTTTCGGTATTTTATTTTAAAACTAGTCAAATGTAAAATAGTACTGGACATTTATAGCAGTTTTTTTTATTTGATTTATATTTTAGTTATTGAGACAACAAGGTTGCTATTTTATTGGGATGCTCATTGTTTCATTTTTATTATAATAAAACGTTTAATGGTACTAAAATTTGTATAAATAATATTTCGTTTCCTTATTCCTTACCTCGAAAGATTAAAGTACCGTAAGTTTAGCTTCGATTTTTAGTTTTAAATAGATTTTTTTATATCATTTTATTTGATTATTAATCTAATAAATTATTAATATGATTATCTTAGGAATATTATTGGAATATGAATTGCAGATAAATTTTTAAAGAATAGAAAGAATCGATTTTTGTTTATTTATTTAATATGAACTAAATAAAAATCGATTTTTATTTAATCGTTACTTTTCCAATAATCTCACATCCCTATCGAAAAGTTATTACGTTTTTTTTTAAAGAAAGACTGTTTTAGAATAATCTAGATCTTTCAAGTGATCATAAACGGTTGAATTCGGTAAAGTTAACATGTCACTGATCTCTTGTGTCTGATACAGGAAACGGTTGATGCAAATCGACTTTTTTGCAAACGATTTGCATCAACTGATTCCTGTATCAACTTAAACCAACCTTCTAGAAGGTGCATCTTCGCCATCTTCGATATCAAAATTGGCGAAATTTTGCAAACTAGTTCTGAAATTGGCATATTGTTAACAGTCACATCGTTTAATGAGAACCTTCACAAAACTCTTAAAAAACTTTATAAAACACTGTACCTATAATTTAATGATAACGATACTGGCATTATCGAATAATCCTAACCACCTCAACTAATAGGCAGAGATTAAAAATAATCGATCAGTCAAAAAACTATTCTGTATTTTGCAATAAATAACACAACTTTTTTAAACATTAATTTGTGTTTTAATAATGGTAAGTTGATTCGTTTTTAACTTTTTTTAACATAAAATCAATAAGTGCCATATTTTGGGAAGTACACACATAAATTTTCAAGCTAAAGCACAAGCACGAAAACAGGTGCAGTGTACTTAATAATAAATTAATATAGCCAAAAATTTCTGAATGGTTAGAATGAAAGAAGTGCATCAAAATGTTATAGTGCTCCATGGCGTCCACTCTATAACTCCTCAAGTGCTTAATACATGTAACGGATGTAATGTCACTAAAAATTTGCGACACCTAAGTATATTTCCCTTTATATTTACATATGTAACTCGTAGTTGTGTAATTTAACTTTAATGTCACATAAACTTAGAGAGGTTTCATTTTCAGGTGTTCGACTACTTCGACAAGTACACATTCTTATGTGAAATGTATGACGAAAATGCAGACGAAATAGTAGATTTAGTCTTAAATTTCTTTCCGTTTGATAATTCAGTACAAATAATAAATTCTAGAAAAGGTAAAAATTTGCTGAAACGTGTTCAACTGTCACCACTGAAATTAGAAATGCTACAAATTGGTAACATAGTAAATATATACTCTAAATTACTCTATGTAAAAGATTGTGCGCCGGTTACAAGAAGAACGTTATTTAGTAACGTACAAAGGTAAAAAATCGATGTTTATTACACAACTTATGTATGTAAATATATGTTTATACATTGTTATAACCCCTCCGATCGATCTCCGGTCCAATTCAAACGAAGATCGATATTACAACGGCCTGAGCCTGAGGTTCGAACCCCTAGTGGTGCCCTCAGACTAAAGTCGTATCCGTCAGGCAGTACGCTCTCCATAAGTCCTTCCGCGGTCGGCCGCGGTTCGCAGTCCTCCTTTGGAGTGCCATCGGCACTCGCCCCCTAACGTCCGGTGAAGCTGTAAAAGCCAGCTGCGGCAAAAGCATTAAAGTAGTCCGAAAAATAAATTTTTATAACTATTTTATTTTCAGGTAATACATATAAATAAAATAGATTGTGTGAAAGATGATATGAATAAAAGAAGAGTATGTTTAGATATGACGACCGATAGAGAGCAGTGGAAGAGAATGACATACTGCGCCGACCCCAAATAATGGGATAAAGGCAAGGCAATGATGACATATAAATAAAATTGGAGTGTCTGTTCTGTTTGTAATATTGAAATAACCATTTTTTACTACATGCATATAGCATGTAGTAAAAAATGGTTTGGTTTGGTTATTATACGGTATCTACACAAAAACAACATTTTTTACAATTTTTGTCTGTCTGTTTGTTCTGGCTAATCTCTGAAATGGCTGGACCGATTTTGACGGGACTTTTATTTGCAGGTAACTGATATAATAAGGAGTAACTTATTCTACTTTTAGAAAAAATCTCTAATTAACTTTTTTGTTAAATTCCACGCGGACGAAGTCGCGGGTACAATTAGTTAGGTATATAAGTATATCAATATGTATACATATCTTACATATGTCTACTTACTAACCTGTAAAATTTTCTAAGTTTGCTGGTAAAAAACTCTTTAGAGACTAATCCGCTCTTTTACATTTCATTTCATAATCTAAATAATATTGTATATATAGTATTATTCAATAAAGAAGTTTTTTTATGTATGATAATGGAATGGTGCACTCGCCTGCGCTAACGGTTTTTGCTGGCGGGGCACCAGAGGAGGATAATAAGATGAACATGAGGTCAAGTCAGTTAGCCCATCGTGACAAATTCACCAGGCATTTATCATGATGGTTTCCAGGGGGAACCGCGTGGATGTCAACCTAACAAGGTACATTGCTAGTAATGGGTCCTGAGTCCACATTACTAACAATCCCTTTTCCCCCCTCAATGAAGAAATTGACCAGTGGCGTAGTGTGGGTGGTGCAGAGGGGGTCATAGCTTAAAAGCAAATTATATGGGTACCTAGTACAGAAAAAAGTCGGATGTAGTTGATAAAAATTAATGCACCTTCAATTTTACAGTTTTTGGTTATAAATAAAAAAAAATGACGGCTTGATTCCAGGCGGGGAAAGACTACACTACACCACTGACTAAGTTTAGTAAATACCGCAGGTGTATCGTCCTTACCTTAAATTCTGAAAAGTGAGATATTTCCAATAAAGAGACAATGTTATCTTTTATCCTGTCGTAAAAAAATGCATATATGGGCAGGTATATTATAATTACATACTGCAGCGCTACAGCACAACTTGTTGGTATAGTAGGCGGTGGTAGGAGATAGTGATGTAGATTGGTTAAAATAAAAATAAAAACGTTTTGGTGCTTTAAATTGTGACGATGTGAAATCTGACTGTAGTTATTTATACCTATTATAAACGGATAGATCAATTAGAATGAATTTACGATGTTTTTTAAAGTATGTGTCAAGAATTAGGTTTAGGTGAATGAATATGTATTACTATGTCATATAATCGAAGAAAATCTGTGAAAAATACATCTCAACGGGGTGAAATGAAAATTAAATTACAGTTTATTTTATGTACATCTAAAAAATTTATGTGCTCGATTTTTTAGCACATTTGCACTGATCAAACCTGTTCCGTCAAGTTCACACGGTAAGATAATCACGTTCATAATGAAAAAAGGGTTCCGTATAGTTCGTATGAAAAATGGAAAAATCAGCAAAGATTTTGCTATGGAATTGTACAAAAGTATAGCTGGAAATAATATGCTGCCGTAAGTAAGATCTTTCAAAACTATTGTTTTAACAGATTACCAGAAGGAGACTGTGATTCGTAGAACATATGTACATATATTAGTTATTTATGCTTATGGTATTTTATGCTGACCTAAAAAAAAAGGTATGGGTTCGCAACTCGCACTTAAAATACGTTTTACGAAAGTGAATGAAAAGACTGACGAAAATTACTTGTTATATTTCAGATCAATGTAATAATATAATAATAATCTCAGAACAATGCACACAGCGCAATCTAGACCCAAATTAAGCTAACTAAAGCTTGTGTTATGAGTACTAGATAACTGTTACAAATACGTACATAGATAGGTATATTTTTTATTCGTAAATAAATACATATGTATTATAAAAACACCCAGACCGATGCAAACAATTATTCACACTCATGAATACAAATATTTGTGCCGTGCGAGGAATCGAACCCGCGACCATCGGAAATAAGGCGGTGTGCTAAACTGCTAGACAACCGAGGCCATCAAAAGAGAACGATTTCCAAGTTGAAAGTTCCACACTTTCCGTCTCTGCTATTTCAGCTGCCAAATTGCTTTGTAATATGTATTTCTGTTGTAGGGTAATAAAAGACATGACATCTTAATCCCCCGGAACGGACACACGAGCAGTATCGCGGGAGTGTCTTGATAACGTGATGTCTGTCGTGATGTTCCTGTATATAGACGACGATTACTAATTACAATCAGGAGGACCGTCAGTGAATGCCATCCAAATACGTATAATTCGGCCTAAATGCTAGGTTTTTTATCTAGCAAGGAGGCCCATCGTCTCCGTTACTGTGAAGTCTTCCGACTCAGTATTTTCAATAAATATTAAAAAAGTTTGAAGTTTTCTTTTCAAATATGCAGGATTATCATAGATTATGTTACTAATGGCGAAGTGATTGGATTGGAACTGGTGGCTCCCGATGCAGTGAAAAAGTGGAGACAATGTCTAGGCGCGACAGATCCGCTTGAAGCAGCACCCGGTACTTTACGGCAACTGTATGGAGATAATAAAGTTCAAAACGTTGCACACGGTTGCAACACACAGGAAGAGGCATTACAGGTATATAATAATTAACTAAAATAATAAGATGAAATGTCTAGGTAGAGGTACTGAACTGGCAAAGAAAAAGAGTAGGTAGTCTTTGAATGTATGATATGTACCTATCAAACCGGATATTTAGCACAACATGTTTTGCTTTCTCTTCATATAAATCTATTAGGTACATTTTTTTAATGAATGCGATGTCATTTGATTAATTATTCTTACGTGGTCTGACAACAACATAGTACATAATACAACAACATAGCTTCGTTTGAATTACATTTAATAACCTTAACGTATTTACAACCAAACTTAGCAAATTCTGTCATCCGATCAGTACTCGTCTGTACCATTTCTTTTAGATGCTGGAATTATTCTTTGGTTACGACAAAGGAATACCACGTATTCCATTTCGAGCAACATTCAAAGATTGCACCTGTTGCGTCATAAAACCGCATGCTGTCATCGAAGGCAATGTGGGTTCGATTCTGGAACAGATATCCACATCGGACAAATTTTACATTTCAGCTATAGCTATGTTTTCGGTAAAACTAGCAAACACAGAAGAATTTTATGAAATATATAAAGGAGTACTCCCAGAATACGAGGTTCACCTTTGCTATATTCTTCTTAGTATTTGCTACTGTCGCTATTATGCTATCAACATTTATAATAGGTCTTACTTTTTTTTCGGACTACCTACTCTAATGCTGTGCTTCACCGGACGATAGGCCGCAGAAGGCCTTATGGAGCTGCTGAAGGCACACTCTCCCTTGACGGATACGACTTTAGTCTGAGGGTAGCGCTAGGGGTCCAAACCTTGGCTCAGGCCGTCGTAATTTCGATCCGCGTTTGAATTGGATGGGAGATCTTGGATGGGAAGTCTTACTTTCACTTTACATTCGTCTTGTATATAGAGTGAATGTTAATCGGCGCACCCCATTACGTTAAAATGTACTCGTAAATACAATGCTTGTGACTACCCCATCTGGAATAACAGTCGTGATGGTTTGACATTATATATTCTTTTGACATTATATAGCTATATGTATGAACATAGAAGAGACATTTTTTGTTAGAACGTTTTAAAAAGTATTTTATTTAGATTCCTGACAAAAATTACACATTGCTTGGATTATTTACGGAATATGCATACACAATATGTGGTTAGCTATGCAACTAATCATTAAATTTTCAGGATATGTGTATTCATATGGCAGAAGGAAAATGTATCTCACTGGAAGTTAAATGTAAAGACCCCAGCATGAACTGTGTTTGCGAATTTAGAAAACTATGCGGACCACGAGACCCTGTAAGTTTTGTACCAGCTTACTACAGATTTTTATTGGTAGAGATGGAATAGTGCTTCCGACGGCGCTAACGGGAGTCTTGTTTTAACCATGTCGGTTTCCAGAGAGGATCGCGTGGATATCGTTCTGACATGGAACATTGCTAAACCTTGGCACTATTGGCCAATAAATAATAATGCACCCAACCATTCTAATTCTAGATTAGACAGATATTATTCTAGATAAAAGTCAATACTATACTATAGTTTTTTCCTAAATCACGCGAACATCTCCGCGAGATGCAGTCAATTAGCTGCAACTAGTAGTGAAGGCGGAACTAATGTTAAATACTTTCAGTGGGTAACTATGAGGTCCCGTATCAAGCCTATATAATCTTGCAATAGGGCCAATATGTGATGCAGACGAAGCTGCGCCGGTCAGCTGTTTCATGGATATTATATAATAATAGAATATTACATGTATTATAATTCTATCAAAATGTACCTATAATAATTAACAAATTGTATTATTGTTAAATCTTGTTAACAGGATTTGTGCCGACAGCTCTATCCAGACTCTATTAGAGCACAATATGGGAAGAATATTATACATAATGCAGTGCACTGTACCGATCTTCCTGAAGATGGAGAACTGGAAGTGGAATATTTTTTTAAACTTATGGCTAACAATTAAATCAATACTTTATACAATTAATACATATTTATTTGAGGTAAATATTAGCTAATATATAACTATGAATAATGTACATTTGCTGTTTTCCTCAATAAATTTATGGCTGGCTAAAGCCCTGTGCTTTTCATCTGTATCATAAAAAGTTATAAGCCTGTTCTATGGAATCTACCTATTAACACATTCAATAATATTAGATTTGGTACCATACTGCAGATTTAATTACTTTTTTTAAATGGTTCCAAATCAAATCCTACACGCTTTTCAATCATAACATCGTAATTGTCACACAAAAATATATAAAAATATATTTTGAATTACTCATTACTCAGTCATCAACATGAAGGCTCTGGGTAAAGGTTTAGATTTGATAAAGGATAAAAAACTAATTATGTTAATAATCTGAAATATTTTTTATTGACTTCCACAAAATTTCTTTACACTGTGTATGTCATAAATTATAGTTCCAAAAATGATTTATCTTGTCAAGTACTGATTTTATAGAGATTCTTTACACTTCAATATTATTTGGATTTATACTCGTTTTTGATAATAAAATCATTTCCTTCTATTTCTATTTTATCATACATCCATTTTCTGTTGACTCTGAAATTTAACAGATATTATTTAAAATTTCCTTGGTTAAATTAATTACTACAGACAATATATCAACATACATTCGTACTTATTTGATTGCTAATCAATATATCTTTAAAAATAATAGAGATATTTCCCATATTGAAATTTATTTCTAAGTTGGATATTAAACTGTGATGAGACTTAATCAATTACAATGTTCTTTTACACTTTTGGTACATTACATATACATTTATTTGGACAGTCAAGTTGCTCTACTAGCACTTCAATCATATGAAATCCGATCTAAACTTATTAGAAACTGTATCTTGCTACTAAATGAAGTAGGAAGCAGAAATAATATTATACTGAGATGGGTCCCCGGGCACTCAAACATCATAGGCAATGAAAATGCCAACCATCTGGCAAAGTTAGGGGCAAAAACTGCCCAACTGGGTCCCGAACCCTTCTGTGGTGTGCCTCGTTACCTAAAACTGGGACATCTCAAATTAATAACCAAACGAGAAGCACTGAATTACTGGCAAGAAATGCCAGGATTGACACATTCAAAAGCCCTAATATCTGGCTACTTGAACGAATACTCCAATAGATTATTGCTATTGAGTAAAAACAACATATGCATGATGACTAGGGCCCCCACAGGACACTGCAAGTTGAACAAGCATATGGCTTACCTAGGTTTATGCACAAAAAAAATCTGCAGATTCTGCCAAACTGAAGAGGAAATGCCACTACACATCCTATGTGATTGTAGCCCACTCATGCATAAACAAAATATCTCCCTTGGAAAGTTTACACTCTTTCCCTAGGAGATAAAAACCATCGCTCCTAAGAATATCCTTCAATTCTTGTCCCTAACGGGTCTAGGTAGCGAACTTTAAAAAAGGGCGAGCACAATAGATCAGTGTAGGTTGCAGTGCTACAGGTGCAGGTATCTGACAATAGCCCAAACAACCCAATAAAAAAAAATACACTTCTGTTTGTCAACACACACATCACAAACCCACCTGCATTCATGGCCACATTTCAATGAGTTGCATCTTGTGCACGGGAAGTGACAACCTGGACAAGTTTCATCTAAACAATCACACAAATCTTTGCCCGTAGCAGCAATTTGTCCTCTTTCATTATAAATACTTTTGCTTTTGCGACTGAAACAAAATTTAATTTTAAAGAGTTAAAGAGTTTTTATGATATAAGTTCTTTACAGAAGGAATGAAAGTTAGAAAATAACTAAAAATATTTCTGAATCTTAATTGATTTTAAAGATACATTAATATGAAAAAAAAATGGTGAATAACACGTTAACAATATAATACAATGTTCTTACTTCATAAAATAACTTTTGCGATTCAATTTCCGTCGTTCACGCGCAGACGTTTCCGGATTAAAATTATCAAGAAAATGCATGTTTTTATTCCTCATTAAACCACTGATTTTAAAACTGAATTTATTGATGTTTATATATGATTACCGATTAGGTACAAATAATATATTCTTAGATAAATATTATACGATTACCGATAATATACTATTTGTACCTAACAAATAGTGTATTCTTTGCTAAATATTATGATGTTTTTTCTTTTTCCTAATTTTTTTAAATTAGTTTTGCGGACCTGGTAATTTTCATTCAGCCAAAGAATGACATTATACGCAGTCAGCTAACAGTTACTATACTATGTGCGCTGTAGCATGGCGCAGGTGACACTTTCAGTAACGTTTTATTTTACTCTTAAAAGATGACGCGATTTACAAATTATGACTTAGTATTTCAGGTGTACCACATTCGTAATATATTAAATCATTTAATACTCAAGTAACTTAAATTTATATAGTACATAGTATAATATATACTACTATAAAGATATAGTATTAAGGATGCAGTCATATATAAATGAATAAATTTCAATGTTTTGTAAGGTACATGGCAAGAGGCGAGGTACCTATGTTTTATTATATAAACTTACTAGCTGTGCCCATGATTTTAGCCGCCTTAAATTTCAATATAAAATATAGCCTATGTGTTAGTCCGATGCATAAGCTATATTACTGTAGTTTCATTAAAAATTTCGAGTTAATGGATGAATGTAATATTAATGGATAATTACTGAAATTGTGATATGTAAGCTTATATAATAATTTATTTATAAGTTTGTTTAAATTTTCATGTTATGTGTTCGACTGAAAGACTTGTATCCATGGTCATGAATAAAGAATTAAAAAAACTGACACTTTCTGTTGTAATTTGTCAGTTGTCAACTTGGCAGTCCTTGTCATACGGACTTATAATAATAACATGAGTTGTATTTTGTTAATTTACACTGTTGAAGTTGAGGTTGAAATTTAAAAAAACTAACAACTTTTAAAGTACTGAATATTTCCTACAATTTAATTTAGGAATTCCAAATATCTCCATTTTAGCCATGGCTGATACAAGCAGTAAGGAGCAGTCCTCCACAAAGGTTCCAATGATATACGTGTGTGGAGGTATGCCAATACTGAACGTCTGCATTTTCTTTTTGTATTAATTAACATAAATAATAAGGTGAAGGGTGCTGGGACTTCACATATTACGATTCTAAATCATATGACAAGGTTCTTCAAAGCACGAATGATGCCTACCCTATTTTATATATTTATATAACCTACACTAGCATACTGTCGTACTCCTAGTGACATGATGTAGTTATGATTATTAAATCATTATTATTCAATATTCTTTCTTATAGTACTGTTAGTTAATATAATGTATATATAATAGAATAATTTAACAAAAGTGTGATATTGAACAAAAAAGCAAATTACCAGTAAGGCTACCTGAAATAGTGAGTTTCATAGTTTTTTATTACATCAGTTGTAAATTAATATTTTATTATAATTGCAGAATGTCATAAAGAAAATGAAATAAAGACCAAAGATCCAATCCGATGCAGAGAATGTGGATACAGAATAATGTACAAGAAAAGAACAAAGAGATGTATCCTTTTAGTAATTAGTTATATATGTATAATGAATATGTAATAGAAAGAATCACAATCTTTGAAATAAAAGTCCACTGCAGCTACATGCATTAAGTTAGTTTAACAATATTTACTATCCTTTGTATATATTATGAAGTTTGTCTAGGTTAATATGGTTTTGGGCTTTATTGTATGTGTGAATGCCTGCATTTATTTGTTTTAATTATATTATTCATAGCTTGAGTTTTGCACTTATTTTTCTCTCATGTTTTTTTATTGTTATGTTTTAACTGTATGTTCTGTTTGTCACTCATACATTTTATGAGACATACCTACATTAACATCATAATACATTTAAGCAAATTAATAGACACTAAAAATATTTGACATGTCTTAATATGCCTGAGCATGATTTATGTGCAAGTAACAGCTAATGGGTGTATGTACCAATACAGTCTAATTAATGGAGGTAAGTATTTATCCTTTTATTTTATATTTACTTATGTTAAGGTGATATTTGAAATAATCTTATAATCTTGTTTACCTAAACATTATGTTTTGCCTGTGTATCCAACAATATCAAATATTCCCATGGGTATGCAACCCACTGGAATATTTGAGAAATCTACATAGCTTATTTAAGGTATGGTACTACATAATATCTAGAATCAGGGGTAAATGGGCATTTTTAGTAATGTTGACTGATGACCTCTGATGTACCATGTTAGATTCAACATCCACTCAGTCCTCACTAGAAACCGTAGTGATAAATTAAAGAATTAAAGAATTAAATTACTGGTAAGTTTAACATAATGGGCTAACTGACCTGACCTCATTATCATCTTATCATCCTCCACTGGTGCCCAGTGTAAACAATTACCGTATATTCAGTTAACATTATTTAAAAAAGACTTGTTGTTTAACGGAAGTTAATACATAGAGGGGTCAAACTATTTCTTTTATAAGACAATCTAAACCAAACTCACTTTTTGAATTCAATAAATTACTGATTTGTGTTGCTTTTCTTCTATTTAGCCTCTCTAATATGCACTGAAAAAATAAGTAGATACTTACAGACTTGACCTGTATAACATTTTTAATATAGTTTATTCTTGCTTCTATAATTGGCTAATTTTTTACTGTTATTTTGGTATTTTAATTAGCCCCCATGGATGCAAGTGTTGTTACTGAGTATATTGCAAATTAGTCATTCAAGATAATTCAATACATTGGACGAATATTGGGTTTTATGTGGATTATAATAGAATAGTGCACCCGCCAATGCTAATGATTATAGAACGAGTATGAGGTCAGGTTAGTTAGCCAATCATGATAAATTCACTAGGAACTTATTACGATGGTTTCCAGCAGAAACCGGGTAAACCTGACCGTTCATTAGTCCACATTATTAAGAGATTGCCATATTTTTTTCATATATTCTTATCTATCTATATTAGTATCCTCAGTAACCTGAAAATACCAAAATGATGGTAAATCTGCATGAATTTTGACTTTAGCATGCAATAAGCTTTCGTTTCTATACTTCTATTTTCGATAATTTAATAACCCTAATGTTTTATTTCAAGCATTATCATTGAATGCATAAAATTAATATTCCTTTGAAATATTTTCCTGAACAAATTTTATATTTCATCAGTGGTGGTATTCGATGCTCGCTGAGACAGAAAAATAAGGATAAAACAAGATTCTTTTTTACATTTATTTAATATCCTTAGAATTATAAAATATCCATCCATAAGTATAATGTATAATAATCAATAAATGAGTAAATATTTGACAAGTTTGTATTTTATTTTTATCCGATATATACACAATATAAAATTTCTTCAAGCAAAATGAAATATTTACTATAACAATGTTGCCGCTTACACAACTTACAGTACAAAAACTTACAGTAGAAAATTTACAACATTACACACTCCCTAAAAGTTTCTTCTCGAGTGCAATGGATAAGAAACTTTTAATTACATTTTACTATCTTACTGTAAATTAAATTGAAATATGCAGCTATATAAATATGTTCTATTTACTTAATGAATATCAAATTTCATGATAATTCAATTAGGTATAAAAAAGTTTTGATTATCACACAGAATATCTTCTTTAGGATATGATAGTATATAGTATACCATATTAATTTATGAATGTGAAGCAAAAAAATAGTTAATGCCAGTTTAGAATCCGGCATTTGGCTAATAGATTTCCTTTACTTCACAATCTCAAAGAAAAAGAAATATCATTTACTGGGTTGTGATCCTTGTTAAATTAATATACACAGAAAGGAATTTATCAAAGTTGATTTCTTCTCTAACCTTTATTAGTTTCTTTTTTGTTAACCGTTGTATGTAATTTATTAATGCTATTCGGAACTGAACTACTATTGATGTAATAAGATGATGACGTAACGCGTTCCACTTGAAAAGAATTTCTATTGTATATATTTATCTAGTTGAAATTTTTTTTTTCAATCCGTAGTTAAAACTCTGGAATTACCGTTTAATTCCATAAATGTTGTCAACCCATATAGGGTACCGGAATCTGATGAAATAGGGAAATAATATAATGTCACTTTAATAAATTAAAATATGGCATTAGCATCATTGTAAGGCTTGTTTGGGGTTTTTAAGTTAAAAGTGGTTTTAATAGGTACAAACTAAAGAAAACTTCCCCGAGACCTGAGTTTAACTCTCAATCTCGATTTATTATTATTTATTTTATTTAAAAAAAAAACCATGAGGCCTTTTACTAAAAGAATAAAAATAAAGCCGCCCAAAACAAGGCGTCATCAACTAAAAATACTATTTTCAGGCCATTATATTCGTTAATACATAAATCCTCCCACAATTCAAATCAAATTTTGCCGACAAACTATATAAAAACAAGATATATTCTGCTGCGGCAATAAAATATTGTCGTTTTGTACAGTTATTGTTGTACTCAAATATCATCGTATGTTTTAAGTTTTAGAATTGAAGTGACTTTACTATCTGGCATAATTTCCTAACTCATTTTTCATTTTCACTCGTTACGTAATGGTTTTTTCCATCCAATTTATAGTTTTTATATTTTTGAGAAATATTATTTTACTAATGATTCACTTTTCAATTCGAACCCTTCTTAATATCTATCTTTTTCGAAATAGGATTGTACCAAGAAGTATGTGTGTCGTACTCGGATATTAATTCACTAACAGTCATACGGAAACTCCTTTAATCCATTTAAAAATGTAGGAGAATTGTGAAGATTTTAGTGCCATGAATTTAATTATTTATAAACTGATAAATGAACATTTTGTCATATCAAAAAGTTGATAATAAACTTTCAAAATTACGTGTCAACAATGCTGTTAATTTTTATTATTAAGAAGCATGCACATAAATAAATTATTTATTTAGGTAACTGTAATAATACGATATATTTTTATCTACATCACGTATAAAAAATATTTTATGAATTTTAAATGATGCCTTGACACGTATGATCCCTTCACACTATAAGGGTAAGAACCCTAATTAAAGATCCTGCACCTAATGTATTTCAATATTTTATTTGTATAAATATATACAATCCAGTTAGTGTTAGGCTCTCAAAATACCTAAAATTACATTATAAATAACTAATAAGTATAAAAATGTAGGTATAGGTACTTATTTCATAAAATAAACATTTCCAATTACGTATATAATAAGTAGGTAAAGTAGCTTAACCATAATGATATAATTTCAGTTCTGTCATAAAAACAGACAATAACTAGTAGATTTTGCGGAAAATATACACACACACGACTATACATTAAATAATTCAACAGTTGTTTTAATATTATAACAAGATAAAGCGACAATATTTCACTTTGAGATTAACCACACAAAAAACAGTTATCTCTGATTGTTTGTTAATGAAAATGGAAATCATTTTTATACTCATACTCGTCAAATATTCACCCAAATGAAGAGTAATTAGTATTACAAAGAAATACCTAGCACAAGAACTATTTTTGATATGGAAGACTCTTCAAGGATTTTATGCTTTATGTACATCTAAATTTTGTTTATGGAAGTTGATATGCCAATCATTTTAAAGATAAAGGATTTTGGAAGTAGATATTGTACAGTAGTACATTGTGGTATATATTTTATAAAAATACATACATAAAACGTAGTTATGGCCTTATCAAGATAAACTTGACTAATTTTATAGAGTTGTAATTAATATGTATCATTGATATTTTAAATGTAGTTCACCTGGAACATGGACCACTTAGGGAAGTTTAAAAGTGTATTTAAGATTCTCCTTTTCTCAAATCGAGTTCATGAATATTTTCTAATATTTTTTTTGTTATAAATCCTAATAATAGTAACAAATTATGTAAGCCTTACATTGGAAGCAAATTTAACAATATTTAAATTACTTCATCATGAGATATTTACAAAACACAGCAATTACATAGAAACAAAATACAAATATGTTTATAATTAAAGCGCATTATTTTGTTTTCACACGTCTGAGTCAAACCCCAGTATGAATAATTACACCTTAAATTAACAACAAAACGAAATTGCACATTAAAATATCCTACTTAATATAATTTTGGCACTAATTATCTGTGGCACTATAATTAACTGTTGTTTCTATGTTCAATCCTTCACTATTATTAATATTCTTCATCTCACTACTTTTATCACTGTCACTCATCTTTTCTCCAGTTAAAACTGTGTCTTCATCCTCAGAAGATTCTCTGCCCAGAGGCAGAGATGCCACGACCATGCCGTTCGGTTCACGATATTCAAGTTTCGTAGGGTCCTTCTCGTGCAATTTTTGAGCAAGTGACTGCAAACTAGCAAGGGAACTTGCACAATCTGTCGTATCAATGTCAGTTAAACTAACACCAGCGCGTTCAATTTCGGTAAATGTCCCAAAAGGCAATTTGAAGAGACATTCAAGTCGCATTACATGCATTTTACTTCTCAGGTGTTTAGCCAAATGGCCGTGAATTCTAAAAGCTATGTTGCAGTCAGAGCATCGAAATGGACGCGGGTTGAACGATGTAGCCGCGCCAAAAGTGGATGTCATTGAAACTTTGTTATGATGCGAACCTGAACGTTCATGTTTTTGAAGATGTCCTCTTGTTCGGAAACTCACAGCGCACACGCTGCATCTAAATGGCCTCTCCATGTAGTGTATATTGAGATGTAGTCTCAGTTGCGATGGTCTTATAAAAGTTTTATTACAAAAATCACATACTCTGTGACCGTCTTCCATAAGTCGACCAGGTGGAAAAGACGTACCCTCAAATCCTTTTCCCTTAGTTACTTTAAAAGCTACACCTCCTACACCTATAACGACCTTTCTCGCAACAGGATCATGTTCAACTAGATTGTTATCTGTTTTATTGTTTTTATCTTGAATTTGCATGTTATCCTCTGTGTTGATTTTTACATTTGTTTCATCACTAGCATTATCAGTTTGATTATGTAAATCTTCCTTTATATTTACAAGATTAAGATTTAGTCTGGCTTGTTTCAAATATTCTGAAACTACGTGTTTTGCATTCTCTGCGTTCGTCTGACTCGATGTGCGCGGAACTTTTGATTCAGTATTTAGAGGTACAGGGTTTTCATTTACTCTACCTGCATTATTATCTTCAGTACCTGCAGCTGAAAGGGTCTCATTGTCAGTTTTATTTTTAGATGTTTTTAACATGTTAACATTTTTTGGGGACACACTACGTGCAGTGCCAGAATTTCTTACGGATGTTACTACTGTGTTGCTACTATTATCACTACAGTCGTTTGTTTCCGTAAACACAGATTGTTCTAATTCAATTTTTCTTAATTTACTTAGGTTGCATGTAAGTTGACTTTGTTTTATCTTAGAGTCTAAAAGAGCTCGTTCTGTCAAATACGTATGGAGCATTGGTTCGCCATTCGCCCATTGGGTCTGATGCTGAGGTAACTTTGCAGTGTTAGAAGCTAATGATGCAAGAACACTAGATTCTCTCGCAGTTGGTATTTCCGTAACATTAGACACCGATTTCAAATCACTTTTACTCAGATCCATAGGTTCATTTTCCACATCAATTCCTGAGTCCACAGAGTCAACAGGAAGTATCTTTTCCGAACTAGGATCTGTTATACTTTCTAACCCTATTGGAGTGTATGGATAAGTAGAAGGTCGTGCACTCGTTATAAGTCCAGGTGTGGCTGATGTAGTCGGCCTAGAACTTCCCAAAGACAATAAACAATGTGCAGCTTCATGCTCTGGCAATCTTGATTTACACACTTCCGTATCTGAAAATATTAAATAAATATACAATAATTATCTTTGCTATACTGTGTGCTATCAAGTTAACTGCATTCCTTTCTACTGGCCACTGTATTATATTAGAATTTTGTGTCCCTAAAGTAATTATTTTATCCATAAAAATATTCTTAATGCAAATATTCCGTTTATACAAAACGGAATATTTGCATTAAGAATATTTTTAACTTAGGCTTTAAAAAACAGGTGTTAACGCTTCAGTCACAGTAGAACTGTCTCAGACCTAAATAGAGAACGTACATAAAGACATATTTATATTGCAGAAAATATTTCTTCATGACTAACATAATAACAGTGAACGCAGATAATTTGGTAGTACCATGTGTATAATATTTAATCATTATGTACAGAAATTTGATTAACATGAACTTGACAGTGACAATTGTTTCAAGTGCAAAGCGAGACGTACGATGTTGTAGACGGATGCGCCCTTCTCATCCTTTAGACTTCCGGATAAAATCTAAACAATTATCGCGAAAGATTAAAATATAATAAGTACACTAAATTCCCGTACCTAGTGATAAAATATTAGTGCAAAATGAACATAAGTTTAGAAAACCTATACCCTAGAGCATGAATTCAGGGAAGATGATTTGGAAGCACTTTATATATAAAACTTAATATCTTAAGTTCTACAAACTCGCGTTTCCAAACTAAGCAACGCCTGTTTAAGTCCTTGCGGCGGCTATTGTTAACATATTGCGTATGCTTGTGTATACAGCAGTGCCTACCACCTCCATGCTATTATATAAGTGAGTCTACATATGATATGAGTTAGCAGAGCCTGCTTTTCTGTAATATTATAGCTCATCAATTAAAGTGTTAAAAGTGAAACCTTCATATTTACCACTAGATTCTGTTTCTCCTTCATTTCCTTCATCACCCTCGGAGTCAGTGTCATCATCTGTTTCTCCTGAACATTGAGTCATCTCCCCACTTTCAATATCGTTGCCTTCATTTGGATTTATCCCCAATTCACAACATTTTTTGTAATGAGCCTTACTTTTCATGTGTTTCGTTAAATTACCCTTCGTTTTGAAACTGAAAAATATAATAATTTTATATTTGAAATTATAGCAAATAGCAAAGCTACATTAATGTAAAATTTGGTAACTATCACCGTATATATACTAATATGTGATCATGTTTCCCCTTCTGCATTTATACAAATTTCTCAACTTAAATAACCTTTGCCATAGACCGTCGAGGGATTAAGAATTTTATAATATGCCCACTAGGGTCATAGCCGTGTGGTCATACCACATACTGGATACTGTAAGGCATGATTGGTAACATCCAAGAAGCCGTTACAAACGTGTAAAAATATTTTTCTTATCTCAGTAATATCTCATATACCTACGTAAGACTGACTTTACATTATGGGTGTATTATAATAACTTTACATTATGGGTGTATAATAGCTTTCATTATCTGTCGCTTTGAGTTACCACATCCAATAATGTGGTCCTCTTTTAATATACATCAGCTGTTTTAAATCGTAGCCAGACGTGACCTTTTCAGCCTGCATACGTAATTCCTAGAGTCCAGGAGAGTTGTTGCTAAAGGGTTGGTATGGTGTTGAAGTCTTTGCCGGTAAGCCTTACAGGAGCGTTTTATCTCTTCGTGCACCGTTGGGATCTCTGTGTAGTCATGCACCTCCCGGTTTTTTACATACCAAGGTGCATTGGTTATGATCTTTAACACCTTACTTTGGTAACGCTGAATTATTTCGATATTGGAATGACGATGATGATGAATAATAATACACACATAATGTAAATTTGATATTATATTATATAATATATAAATTTAACTATTTGTTTTGTGAAGTGACGAAAACTTTGAAGTACTTTTATTGGAATGGGTTTGCGTTCAGGAAGTGAGCTCCAGATCTAAAAGAGTAGATCTGAACTTAGTTTTATGCGTAACAGTGAGTTTATAGTAAAAAAATATAACCCCCAAATTAACCGGAAAAAAAAGAAAGTAAAGAGAAAAAAGTTTCAAAAAGTACACAAAAGGCAACATAAATTTTACTGCTATGACTTAAGTTGAGTTTTTGTTTAAAACAAAATCAAATGATTAGAAATATAAAAAAATTACCACGACATTAAATTTCTATTATAATTGTCAGGATGATAAAATAAAGGCAAGAATTAATGCACATTGATATTTTTTTATGATATCCCATATTTAATATTACAAAAGCAATTTGTCTTGAAGAAATGTAGAAAATAATTATTTAAAAAAACACTTATTTAAATAGAAATCTGTCAATTTGAATTTTCCACATAAAAACCGTTGTGCGTTTATACGTATAGTAATATCGATAAAAACTTACCTAAAGGCGCAGTGTGTACATGTATATGGTCGTACATCAGTATGGGTACGAATATGCTTTTTCAACATCGACGGCTTTTTACAACGAATACCACATTCCGAACAAACATATCGTCCTCTACCTCTGCCTCGTACATATGTATATTCTTCGTTGCTTTCAAATCCGCCGGTTACCTCTTTTTTAGGAGCCATTGTACTATCAGATATCAGAAGTTTGCCCTCTTCTGATTTTTTAGAGTCAATCGATGCTGTAACCTAGAACAAAACATTAAAGTCATGTCTTTTTGAACGTAAATAAAATTATGTTTATTTAATTCAATAATATATTTAATAGCTAAATGCAATACTTAATAATTATCCAAAATCATCCAGCAAATTATATGTGTACGCAATGTAATGTATCAATTGAAAACAATTGCTAACAAGAAACACACTTAATGCTAAAACATATTTATTAAACGTTAATATTTTTTTGTATAATGTGGTTACTGTTTATGATTTAACACTAACCTGTTTATACTCCTTTGAATTTTTATTCCACTTTGATGAATGAGTCAATATGAGATCCTGTTTTACTACTGCAACTGTTACGTTTTGCGGTCGATGACGTGAGTCGTATAGAGACATAGTACTAGATGCTGATAATCCCAGTGGATCCGGAGTCAGCTCAGATAGTAACTGAAACATATGTATTCTTAATAAAATAGCGATCTAGTAGTACTAGGATACTTAAAAAATATGTAAAAAAAATGTATGTATAGGGTTTTTTTCCAATATTTTTGTCGAAGTAATTGTGACGACTAATATGTACTACTTATATATTTTTTTTATTATTGTGAATAATAATTAAATGTAAATTAATTAATGTTTAATTCTGTATGAAAGTAATGTCAAAATTGTTCTATATATATACTTTTTAAATAAATTATTTTCATTTCATAAAATCTTTATAAAGTTATGTAAACTAGATCATGGTAGGATTATTTTATTAACAACAGATGTTAACGGTGATTTATCATTTCGTCATATTCACATTTTGTTAAAAAAATATGAAAGAATATTTTCTGTTAATTGCTAACTGTCAAAAGGTTATGTCTATCATAATTGAATATTATATAATTACCTGCCAATTGCTGTACATAGAGAGGAAATGCTGATTAGGCACATACGTAGGCTGCGGTCGATTGATTGTGCAATAGAAAACTTTAGTTGAACATTTTAAGCCTAAATAAGTATATGCATTTCCATTTAAATAAAGTTGTCCGTAAGCTTTAGCAGGCCGAGGAGTTTCAGGTGATACCAAAGGCATCGTGTTTGCATTAGGAGTAATACCATGATGTCTTTTAGGTGTGAACGTACCAGGTTTTAGAGGCAATGTAGAAGGTCTTAAAAACTTAGGTTTCCTTTCTTCTGCATTAATTTTAGATGTAACATTTTTTTGAAAATATGCTGTTTCTGATCGTTCATTTAAAATAGAAGCGTTATTTGATTCCTGTTCATCCTTTTGCACGTCCGATGAACTTGGTATTTGATTATTCAATATTTCTACCTTGGTAATCAAGTTCTCAAAATTAAAACTTCTCATTTCACTATCAATTTCAATACTTTTCGTTGATGAAGAAGAATTTTTTTCTTTTATCTTCAATTTGTTTGGGTGATAATTGCATTCTTTAAGAATAGGTGTCTTGGGTAAACTATCTGAATTCCTTTTAATGGCTCCGTCTTGTCTAATCGTTAAGCATTTACCAACGGGCGAAAATGATTTCGTTTGTTGGTCGTCAACATTTTTAATTCTAATAGCTGGTATTGATGTTGTATAATACGTATCATTATTTAAATATAAATGGTCTTTGTTATTTTTTTCGGTTTCTAAGGAACTTGTTCTTATACTGGGACTTCTTGCGTTTCGTAAGCTATCATACTTACTACTACTACCCTTTACAGACTGAACCACACTAACATAATTATCATCTCTAGGCGATTTTACAGGAGATTTGGAAACATCACCATGTGTTTGTGTTTTCACTTGTATTGAAGACTTTTCTACAAATACACCTGGTGTGTTTGGTCCAGGTATACCAGGTACATGGGGAATTAATTTTCCGCCGTGTAAAATGGTCGTTGCACCATTAGGAGACGAAGTCGGACTAAGTGGTGGTAAAGTCAAAGGATTAAATGCTGTAATAGCACTAAGAGGTGGAAACTGAAAATGTGTTATGTCGTGAATATTTGGTAAATTACCAGATGGAGTTGATATTGTAATTCTAGGAGTTTGCGGTTGTGGAGTACTTATAATTTCTTTTGGAGTTGGAGGTTTGTGAACCATAGTTCCACCTGAATGAAGTCCTGATCTTACTACAATGCTGCTCGCCTCCGTATCATTACTGTGTTTTGATGGAGAAATATTTTGCTGTACCAATATAGGTGATAATTGATTCTTACTCGGTTCTATTCGTAAAGTAGTTGTACCGCCTGCATGGTCCAGTATTTTTACTTCGCCTCCGAACATTTGAAGAGATGTCGAATTACTTCGCATATGCTGCGACATTTCTTCTAAATACCTTATGGCTACTGAATTCCCATCAATACACCGAATTTTTGACTGTGAGTACATATCTGTTCGAGGGGAAGTATTTTCTGTTAATCTTGGACTATATGTATCTGATCTACTATCAATTCTTCTCTTTGGACTGACTGATTTTAATTTGAAGTTTTCTGTTTTCCTACATTCGGTGGGTGTTCTGGTGTCCACAAGTCTTGTACTGCCTAATAAAGGCCCAGGTGATGGCAATGGAGTAGCAATATCATTAGATTCTAATTTCATTATATTAAGGTTGTCAGGTTTATTTTTTAAAGCCGTCTTTGGAGAAGAACTATGTTGTGTTTCTGGTAATCGAACATTGATAGAGTTGCTCCTTACAAATATATTTTCAGGTCTTACAGGTTTTACATCCTTTTGTGAAGAATTTGGAGAAATACTATTACAATTTACATTACTTCCTTTACAATAGTATGTTCTATGTATTTCTAAGTTATCTGCACTTCGGTAAATTATTTGACACAGAGGGCAAACAAATAGTGGTCCCTCAATCAATTCACCTGTAATAGATGATATACCGTTAGATTTAGTTTTCAGAAGCAGATCTTTTATTATAGATCTTTCTGGATTTAACGGGTGTTTCTGATTATCAATATACGTGAAACTTTCCGAATGTGATCTTTTCCTAAATGTATTTTCTATATCATTGCTGCTCTTTGTTAAATTTAATGGTGACGTTTCTGGCTTAGTTTCTATATAATCATGTAAAAGTTGTTTACTCTCTGCTATTTGTTTTATTTTACCATATTTTTTTTGTAAAGGTGTATCTATGACATCCACAATGGCTTCATTATCTGATATAATTTTAGAGATATGTTCAGTAAGAAAATCGGCATTTGACGACATTGTTTTCTTTAATTTATCTTTTTCGTCCATTTGTTGATGGCATGCACCTCTGAATTTAGGTTTATAAATTGTTTTGGATTTCGTAATATCCTGTTGGGATGAATTCGTGCTTTGTGGTACATAATCGGACAATTCTAATAATGATATATCATTACACTTGTAATGCTCGTGCCGAGTAACAGATGAATCAGATCCAGTCGGTGGTATTGATGTATCACTTTCTGAACCGCCGGATAAATCATCTTCGTGAATTGTAGCAGACACGTCTGACCCTTGCAATCTTAACGCATGTGTTCTAGATCTTCGATGTTTATATAAATTTGATTTTGTTTTAAAAGCAAATCCACAAGGTACACAAGGGTAAGGTCTCTCATTTGTATGAGCTCTGATATGTTTTTGTAAAACAGAAGGCTTGGCACAAGATAATTTGCAGTAAGGGCATATATAACGGCCACCTACACCCCCATTGTAGGCATCCCTGATAAAATCATTTTCAATGTTCTCAGTCTTATTAGAAAATTCATCAGCGTAACTGGTCTGACCAGTTACTTGAACATTATCATTTACATTACTTAACCTAATGTTTTCATCATTATAAATAGTTTGTACATTTTTCTCCTCCTCTTGATCTTCTATATTTTTATGTAGTTTAAATTTTATCTTTTCTATTTCCGGGTGCGCCGCTGCGATGCTTCCATTAGAAATTGACGTATCACAATCAGACTGTACCACGTCGGGCTCTTTGTATCGTGACTCTCCACCCTTTATTTGATTTGTTGGAAAAACCGTAATGGTCGATGCCATTTTTTTAAACTTCTTATGAAGATAACTTTGATCATTGTTGTTGGAAAAGTTACTATCCAGACGTTTGTCTTGTGTAAGTGGCATCGTTTCCGCGATTGTTTGGCCTGAAAATTAAAAAAAAACATGTTGTAAATATTGTTAATATATACATATAATTATAGTGGTGTCATATGATAGGCGAGTTCGTAATGATGTCAAATTATTATCAGACTAAACCAACTAAAAGCTCTTGCCACATTACTACTTTATCCTCCCTCAATATTAAAATAATATATATACCTTTATATTTGAAAAATATTGATTAAAATTGTGGAAAAATCGTATTTACAAATACAAACAAACATCCAAAATATTCAACACAACAGAACATTGTGGAGACAGAGCTGACGCATTGCGCATGTGTCCTGCTATTTCTACTAGCGAGTAGTGTGACATCATCGTTACGTAGACATAAACCTATGCTAACGAACGAGGATATCCCTCATTTAAAGATGCTCAAAAAGCTTTTTATACAATATTAAAACAAAACAATTTCTTCTTAAAGATATATAAAGTTTATGGCTTTCCTTTTATTTTTACTAAGAGAATAGTTGAAAGTGTAGGTGTTTATGTTACGTTTAAAATACATGTGTAGTAGTGCGCTGTCGACCTCGCCTTGCGCGTTCACTCATTTGTGGACGACTGCGTTGGTGCGTTCTGAGAAGGCGTTACAATTTCTAAGAACCGGAGACACATTAACTGTTCAGCTCTCTAAGCTTAAAACGGACCAACAACTAATACTCCGTGCACGATTACAACGTATCCTAATATTATATTATACATAAACTTATTATTGCCTAATATTTATTATTAATCAACACTTTAATTAGATATGTTAGAAGTAATAGGAGAGTCAAAAGAGGCGAATAGCACGGAATACAAGTTAGTGTTGTAATGACACAAAGGAATCCCGGCGGTTGGCCGCCGCCCGCCGGCCTGGCGCCAAGCCAGGCGGCCCTGGCGACGCCTGTGTCGGCCGCCAGCACGCCGCCAGCCTATATTGCATATACTTCATAATGCTTAAAGGCGACCGGCTCTCCCCGTAGTGATATTTTGCATCATGTACACTACTTTTGTGTTATTCTTATTGTGAGTCTTCGTCCACTGTTATCATTGTTTGACATGGATTTATGTAATAAGATTAACTATAAAAACGTAACTAAGTATTACTTAATTGGATTTTAATTTCGATAAACAAGTAAAGATTAATAAAGTGATTTGGAATGCGGTACGATACTGTATATAGATAATACTATAACAGTAAAACTTAAAGAAATTATATGTTAACTACATTTATGCAAACCATGTTGTTCTTTTTAGTTTTTAGTATAAATTTGAGTCCTTAAGATAGTCAAATGAATATTTGGTTCAAATACAAAATATTTAACACAATTATTATTTTTGTATTCATTAATTACGTAACTGGCAGACATCTAATTAGGTGAGTAGTACTTATATTTATGCAATTTTTTATTCAACGACGACATTTATGACGGCAGTACGTAGATAACAACATTTTTAAATCTAATACCTTACCTAGGTTGATATGAATGTTTATTTATCAAAACCTACTTAATCGTGTTTTGTACATTCATATAAGATTCACGAAACGTATTACTTATAAACGTAACATTATATCAAAGTAATAGCAATGTAAGTATACAAATTGAAAAGGTTATTCATCAGTTTTATAATATTCATATTCACCTATGGATCATTTAAGCCAGACTGACGAGAACGACACATAATACTAATATATTATTAAAACAAAAAATTCACATTAAAATATTTGTGATCTTATCATGAAAATATCCATATACTACTTAAACCATACAATATACCTACATATACACATATATATTTTGACCAGGACTAATACTACATTAAGAGTAAAAATAAAATTAATTAAATTTACAATCTTACCGCGGTGCATTGAATCAGTCCACCATTATATTTTAAATAATAATTTAATGCCGTCACGGTATCATTTGTTTACGTTTCCAGAATAAGTGTCAACAAGTACCATAGGCTGCATTTCACCCGCGCACAAGTGAATCATCGTTAATAATTGCGCGACGATCCACGCCACACAACACGCACATCAACACACTTAGTACACCTGTATATCATATCTTGTCTCACTGCACCCGAACAACGTTGTCGCTTTCTTTTCACAAAAGATTTTCTAGGTACAACTAATACTACATTCCGTGAATCGAAGCGTCAGATGTTTCAATAATGGTGTGTTACAGCAAAGAACGCTGCTAGTTGCCACACCGCGGATGACTGTACAACTGTTTGTAGCAATCGTTGGTTCGTTTCGTTCCGTTCGGCTATACCCTGTACTCCCCGCACCACCCGCGCACTACCCGCACACCGTCCTGACTCTGCATTCGCTGTGAGTAGTGATTCATGTCGCGTTTTATCTATCTCTCTCCTTCACCGCAACCGGACCGGTTGTTCTTCGTAATCTATTTATACGTATCTATGCACGGACTTTAACACCGCGATTTTACTGCCATCTTCAGCTGAATTATTTTATTGTACTTGCCTACCTTATTATTTTAAGTAGAAATTAAAACAACTACATTTTTAAACGTATAGTAATGTAGTGTGATTTATGTTAAACTCCGAAATGGTCAGTCCATTTATATACATTGTTTATTTCTATATATTATTTTTATTTCTATGGGTACCTATATGTATTCAAAAGACTAATAGAGGTTCTTAATTAATTAAGTAATAGTAATAATATATTGTTCTATCAAGCGACACAATATTTTATGGAGCACTGATTTCGTAACGGTTGCGTTCGAGTAGAACGGTTATTGCCTTTGTATGCAGCCTTCTATTTAGCATTCTCTAATTCATACTTGCTAGAATACATCGATTTCTTAGCATCCTTTAAACGGTTTATTTGTTCAATTTTATATTAATAATAATAATAAATAGCTCAGATTCTACGAATATAACTTAAATTACAATTTCGAATATAGATTAGGTCAATAAAATATATTATAACTAATATGCATATTGTGCTGTATTTTGATTAGGCATACAGCACCAAATGCTAATAAAATATTTATAGATTCAGCATTTGGTGCAGCGTGACACTAAAACGCTGACATGCGTCCTTAGTTCAACATAGTATTATAATATTTAAGTTTTGTCTAAGAGTACCTATAGCTTGAAACAACGCATAACATACACTGCAATATTGTACCTAAAGTACTACTCCTAATTTCAATATAGAACAAGTGTATAATAGATATGTAGGTACACATATGGTAATGATCTGACAGTGTCCTGTAGCAGCTACTTATATATTGTTCAGTCAATGTGGGCACTTTCCTATATTTATAACTTATCTCGTGAACTCACTATCAGTAAGACCTCTTTATCAAAATTCTTCATAATTATTACCCACAGACAAATAAACTAGGCGTCATTCTGAATATTAATCTACGTTCGTTGTTGAGCTTGTGATGATAAAAATGGAAACTCCTCGTTACTCGGCTAGATATGAATACATAAACACATTATATTTGCAATGATAATTGGTAGGTGCTTATCACTGGCGCGGGCTGATGACGCACACGCTTTGCTGATAGCAGGCACTCGTTCAATTGTTAGCGACTTGCCAGGAAGCACCGATATACAGTGACCCGCGCCGCCGCACCGCACCGCGCCGCACCATCCGTGTTCAACTACTTACTAGACACGAACACGACTGATCAGACAGTACGCCTCATTATGTGTTGTCCTAATTGCTAGTTAACATTCTTTTCAAAACTATTACAAATACTGATCAAAATTGAGATTAAGAACCTCGTACTTGGTTGAATTAGCAATAAATGATTATTGTTTGATATTATTAATAGAATCAAATGTGAATCGGTTTCAAAGATTAATGATAATTATGTTATCAACACTAATAAGTGTAATAATGCGTACCTACTTATTTATTTCTATTTTTCACGAATATGAGGTATATACTATGTTATGAATATTGTAGAATAGCAGATAGTGTGATGCTATGACAGCTGTTTCGCGAATGGTATGTGGGGTGCGGGGGCGCGGGGCACTTGTTGCGTTGTTTGGTTGGCGCATTCGCCTGTTGCGAGTTTCGACGTCACGCAACGGCCTTGAGCCACGCGGCAGCTCTTTCTGTCTCTTTGGCATCAGCCAACGTAATAACCACTCAAGATATAGGTAGCATATACATGTCATAAATTTTAGAGTAAACATTGATATATCTACTATAGGTAAGTACTACGTGTTACATCAGATTTTCCAAAGATCATGTGTTCAACCCATCCAATTTGTATTTATGAACAGATTTAATTGATTTAATACCTCGATACATTTGTTTGGCAACAAATATGGCTATTGACTATTGATTGCGATCCTAAACCTGTTGGTCAGTTGAAATACTCCGAACGCACGGTCGGGCGCCATGATGTCGCGTGGGCGGGAAACCCGTCTTGGTAGCAAACGTTACTTACTATATAGATGATATTACGTACGTACTAAGATGAGTATTTTAATTTCTTACATATAGAATCGAATTTATATTTGCAAAATAGAAAAGTTCTGAATTTTGCGACTCATTTATTTTTTAAATGATAAATCTCCCTATCGAAAGAAAGGTTATCTATTAAGTGATATTCTGAGTGTACGATATGTGTGTAAGATAGTGTGAGTTACTTTAGAAAACAAACATGTTTCAAGAGAACATAATTGTGCGTTACCGTCGTAGTACAGAAAAACACCGGCACTATATCCCCACTCTGATCTGTGGTCGGGCTTCCCTTGGAACCAGGTCACCGGCTGGCAAGCCTGACCGCTATGCTGACTCGCGATCGAGACGGGCCGCACCCGTCCGACCAATCTCCAAGTTAGGCTTTCTGTAGACCAGCCACGTAACGCCTACTTATTTATATTCAGCTAATCGATAGCAAACCAAATGGCACGCAAACGCAAAGGTATTTAGTGAAACTATTGAATCACTCTCCGAAATATTCGTTGGCGTGTAAATTTGAAAAGGTTTACTTGCTCGACAAATAAGTGGATTATATTCCTGACATTATGAGGGCACAACGAAATGAAAGCATAAAGCCTCACAACGAATAATATTTAAAAAAACTATTTAATACTCGTGAAACTCTACAGTTACGTAAATTTATGAGTACATACCACGAACGCGAGCCGGATATTTATTTTTCATTCGAACAAATGATCTGATGAGATAAGTACAGACTTATATTCGAAAGATATAATTTTATACTAATTATTTATAAAAACATTACAAACGTATATTATAATTATTAACAAAATACACCAAGTTCAATGGCCATTTGGACTACAATAAACTGTCGCTGAAAATACGGGAAACTCGTTCGTGTCGAAATTCCGACCTTCACGTTATTCATGTAGGTGTTCTCTTTAGCCAGAAATAAATTTGCAGAAGCAAAATTCTAACTGCTCATTTTATAGGCAATGGACGAACCCATGTTTGATGATCCAAAATATTTATTTCCATGCGTGGGTATTAAGGGAGTGTAAAGGAAAAGCAAAAATGCATGTAAAAATAGAAACAAATTTGACAATTTGTATACAAAAGCAATTCAATACTTGTACAACGTTGTAACAAGTTGGTTGATTGTTATCAAACTATAAATAATAACATTGATCAATACATTTATGCAGTCTCGTCTGTACAGTTTTTAAATAATTCTCTACTTTTTCGCCTATAAAATTATTGTCAAAAGGCCATCGAAGGACGATGCCTATGACCCAATTGAGCATATGCTTAACTTTTACATATTTTTCCAAACTAGTATTGCGTACCTATTTGTATTTGAACTTTGACTGAAAAAAAACGATAGATCTCTGTAGTCTATGGAATGATAGACCAAATGGAGACCATGGAAATACCTAATGATAACCCTAACAAATATACCTTTAAGAGTTAATAACTTAAATATATGTTATCAATATATTTAAATATAAACTATAAATAAAATCTAGATGTCAACAGCCTGTTTCAGATACAACGATTTCATCTAAAAAAATAATCGGGAGCAATTTAATAATTGCTCCAAAAACTGATATTTTTTATTGAACTAACATTTGAAATGTGAACCCAAAATATCGTTAATAATATTCTTCTTTAAATTGAAAATAATTGCAATCTTAGTAGTAACTGGGACGTTACTTTAGCTTTGACTATAAGAATTATTAAATAGAAATAATGGAACAAATTAAAAAAATAGTTAAAAATAATATTCTGCAGTTTCAGCACGAATAAACAAATCACGACCTCAGATCTAAGAAATAAGATAACACGTAGATATAACGTAGCGTAAATATATATAGATATATAAATATATGTATATTAACTAGATAGGTTACTTATATACACAATTCATAGGTACCATTCCTATAATAACATCGTGGACACATGAAGTATCACGTATTTCATAACTATAATATGGTCAGATAAAAAACTTAGAATTTTTGTCTGTTTTATTTACTTATTTCTCTGTTTGTACATAGTAATATTGATATTACTATGTACAAACAGAGAATTAAGTTAATCCTTAATCTTGATCTGTTTACACCGATGTATGCAAGCATCTCGTAACTTCTGCAATTGTTTTATTCCAAACGGTTCACGAACAGAAAAGTTAAGTTACCTTATTGTTATTCCGAATACCACATACGAAGCCGCAAGCACAGCTAATTCTAAAATATTCCGATGTCAGTCCTACATGCTATTCGATAATACAGTTGTCCGCATCGTTAATTGATATTATGATACCTATGTAGGTATAGCTTTAACAATATGCTTATATCAAGAGAATTGCGTCATTCTCTGCGAATTCAGGCGTTCGCGTATCAACAACCAAAATACACCATATGTAAGTATGAATGTGACAGTAATACTGGTGAGTCATTCGTAACCGGGTACCACTTGACCAAATAAACAACTAAATATTCATTGTCGCGGTCTTTCCTCCACTGTATTCATTGTGCGCATTTTATATTTAAATGTTTTGAAACTACTTGATATTAGTTGATTTTGTACTAAATTAACTAAATTATACTTTCAATAGTATTAGCGGTAAATCAGTTCCACGCGGTGCCCTCTAGAACGTCCTCGTGAAGTAGCTGTGCTAATGGCCAATAGTTCGTCTGTTGGAGGGCCTGAATTTAGTATCAACGACACACTCATCTTCCACTAGTGTTCCGCCAACATATACGTTTGTACAGGCGGGTGTACCATTCCATATTCATTCAAAGTATGCACCTATTTAAATTATTTTACTCCACAAAAAATAACTGACTCCATTTGATACAACGGTGATCATGATGAAAAGAAATATATAAATATATGTTTTCATTTTTTTACAGAATTACATGTGTACATACTTCATATTGTCCTTTTCCGCCTTAATAAAATAAATATGATATTATAAACCAATCACAGTAGTGAATACGTAAAACCAATAAATACCAAGGCATAGAACGAAAATATAAATAGATATTCTAAATCACATGCATATATAAATACAATCGGAAGAAAAAGAGATGAAACCATGAATGTCTACAGCGACGTTAAACAATCAAAAGGTCTTCTTAACAAATTCCGGATAGTCGGAAATATTTTTATCTTATTTCATAAATATAAAAAAATATTTGCATATAAACTATATGTCCAAAAACGTACTGAATTATCTCCATTAACGAAGATATATAAAACCTACAAAATATATAAAATTTTACCGAATTGAGAATCCTATCCATTTCAAAACTATGTTGATAATAGATACATGTACACATAGTAGAATCTGATCGCAATTCATCCTTTTTAACACATTCTTTCAACTAAATATTAAAAGACATCCATATGTTATAGACGGTTCAAAATACGTACCTACCTGAAACTTTCTTTTGATTGCGTTTAAGTACATATTTTTTTGCTTAGGCCTTGTTATACTAAGAATGGATTTTCTAAATAACCTACAAGGGGAAGGTGTAGGCTGTAAAATTTTGTATTTAAGTACTTCGTTTTTAAATAAATGAAATTAATGCCTAATTTGGGATGTTGGTTGATAGAAATCGTTTACACGTTTTTATTGGTCCTGTGGGCTCTCCCACGTTAAATCGGGAAACAACTGGTTAGAATATATATATGTTTGTATTTATGTGATACTATGTTTAAACTGGATTAGAAAGCAACAACTCACTAAAATTTATTTTTGGATTATCTCCAATATGTTTTTGTTGCCAACGCATATTTATTTTTCACAAAAAGACAAACTGATGTCAGTGAAGAACGAAAAGTATGTCTAAGTACCTATTTTTGGAAAGGAATTTGGCTACTATATTAATTGCCATGAAGTTTTAAAAAACATTGTGTAAGTAAATAAATACAAATATCAGTCAAATATAATATTGAAGAAAACATATTCAATTTAATGAAATATTACTACAAAACAACAGACATTCGGTTTCTGGCGCTAGTCTCTGATTACCGGTATCAAGGCAGAAGAACCCTTCTTGGACCTAATTAAATTTCGAGCAATTCAAGTTTAGTTTTTCTTTAGATCTTAGATATTGAAAGAAGGTAATTCGTCAACATTTTCTGGCGTGCAACCAGTAACTATAAACTAAGGATTTTCTAATTTATGGGTTAGCTAGCCACCCATTATATTCCTGTCGATTATAGTCTAAAATATATATATGTTATGGGCAACGTGATTAACTGGGCATTATTAATAAGGACCGGCCATTATTAATAATGTCCAAGATGGGCAAAGTGATTAATTTATGACTTTGATCGGCCATTATTAATAATGCCCGACGGCCCGTAGTCCATGTAATAAGTCAGTGTTTGAAATAGCTTGAATTTATCACTTGGACCGGGCAGTATGAATAATTCCGGTTAGGTTAGGTTAGGTTAGTGTTCCGCGGTGGTTCTCACCATGAAGCCTGGAGCCGAGGAGAGAGGCGTCACCTACAGGTCGGTGCTCACCGAAGCGAAAGCCAAGATCTCCTTGGCCCAGCTCGGTATCACCGACCTGAGGTTCAGAGTAGGGAGAACCGGGTCCCGTATCCTGGAAATCCCTGGAACGCACACAGGCGAGGCGGCAGACGCGTTGGCCGCCAAAATAGAGGAGGTCCTGCCCGAGGACGTTCGGGTCTCCAGGCCAGTTAAGTCGGCCGAACTGCGGATTGGAGATCTGGACGACTCGGTGATGGTGGCCGACTGGTCGTAGCCGTGATGCGTGAGGGGGGTTGCCTGGAATCCTCGGTGAAAACCGGGGAAATCCGGCGCAACACCCAGGGTACGGGATCTGTGTGGGTGCGGTGCCCTGTGGCCGCCGCAAAGAAGTTGGCCGAGGCCGGCCGGCTGAGAATCGGGTGGGTGATGGCGCGAGTACAGTCGCTGGATCCGCGCCCTCAGCGGTGCTATCGCTGCCTGCTTACAGGCCACGTGGGAGTGCGATGCACCGCTGCGGAAGACAGCAGCGGAATCTGTTTCCGCTGCAGCGAGCCCGGCCATAAGGCCGCACGCTGTGCCGCGCCATCACCGAAGTGTCGGTACTGTGCCGCGGCGGGTCGGAAATCCGACCATAGAGTGGGCGTCACTAACTTGTGTCGCCCCCCGAAGGCCCGAGCCGCGGCACGGTCCACAGGTGGGGGGGGGGAGTCGATGGACACTTGAGTAAAATCAGGTGTGCATCGACTCCAAAATTGACCCTAGGGTGGAGGATTGTTAGGGCAATCCGAAGCTCGCCGGGGAGGTTTTAGGGTCTGGAGGTGGCGTGCAGACACTGTTCCCTGCACGCCTAGATGGAGGTCCCTTCGATGGGAACCATGCCGGTGGTCTTGGTGAATGCTTGCGTATCCCATGGCCACGGCGATTATGTCGAGGAGGAACAGTCGTCAGGTTTTTAGCAGGTAGGAGTCCGGCAGTATCCATTCGTCCCTAAGCGGATGGTTCTCCATGATGGATTTTCCTGACGTGAAAAAAAAAAAAAAAAGGTTAGGTTAGTGTTATTACATTTTTAACTGTTTATTTTTTAACTACTATATAAAATTTTGTAAGTTTAATTTCATTTAATAAACAAAAACATTACAGTTTACCTATTTTATTACTTTGCCCAAGGTAGGATGGGCACTATTCATAATGGCCGGGAAAAGTGATTAATCATGCTGTTTTAATCACATTGACCAATTGAGTCAGGCATTATGAATACAGACCGGCCATTATTAATAGTGCCCTGACTTATCAAATATATTAACCGTAACATATCCGTAATGTATTACCCATAACATATTATATATATTAGAATATAAAAGTTTAGAAAGACATTTGGAGGTCTCTGAGATTCATATATATCATATATATTTCTTGCTTATTCTTCTTGTGATAAGACAGCTTTTACAAATTTTACAAATTTATAGCGTAGATTAACGTATGTGCTATCTAAGCTACATGCCATTTGTGTACACCAACATTGCCGAAAACTAATGTCAGCAAATAGATGTTATGAATGTATATGTTATAATGTGGTGACTGTACAATAATGTCATTTGAGAAGCAAAATAAAAAACGTTCGTTCATTATGTAACATTTATTCCGAAAAGACGGGCAACATAATTGCATTTGAAAATTACTTATTTACCTACATATATTTCACCTGCATCCTTGTATAGTATAATTTGTAAAATATAATTGTACCAGTAACAATTATATTTTACAATTTATAAGATTTTTTTATTAGTCGAAGTCGAAAGCATATCTATGTACAGACTTTCTACATCGATTTGAGACTGCTCACCGGTGTTCCTATGGGGTTATCAGTATCTGATTTCGTAGAAACTCCAGAGGATAACGCCAAGTTTGAAGTTATGGGAACCTCGCCTCCACCTGAAATTTCTACATCTGATCGTAATTTTGTAGTAATAGCTCGCTTATGCTATGGACTCAGCTACATAATCATTAACACCTGTGTTCGTATGTTGTGATGAATCTACTTTATCTGTAGTTGAAGGTACACCATAACAACTACTACGTCTCTTTTTTATCTGATCTGCATGTCTTTTAATGGGTAAACCATCTTCCCTACTTACAATTTAATTTCTAGACCCTACTTTATTGTTCCTTCCACCCACTTTGTCCCTGTGTATCGCGCCCATAAGGTTTCTCCGCTCCGCTTGTGCCGCTTGTACCATATTTGTACTGATGTGCAATTCGTCGACGAGAACGTTCGGCGAACATCCGGCCTCCTCTGATCCCGCCGCGCGCGCCCGCAGTGTGTCCGATGTGTTGCAGCTCGGCCGTCGCTGGGCGCACCATCTCTTGCCTATTGTCACCTGGTCTGCTCTTGGTACAGCCTTCTGGGAAGGCCTCGGTTGCCTCTATCGACATAGCAATCTTGTATGCTCGCTCGAACGTGATCGTTATATCCTCCGTAAGTAACCTCTGTCTAATATCATCATTGATTAAACCGCACACGAATTGATCTCTTAGATTTTCTCTTAAACTCTCCTCCGAAAATCCGCATTGCTTGCTATTTTTTTTTAATTCTGTCACAAAGTTCATTATGCTTTCTTCTGACTTTTGTATACGCTGCCTAAATTTAAATCTTTCTGCTAACATATTGGGTTTAGGATTGAAGTGTCGCTTCATGATTGTCACTAATTGAAGATAACTTTTATTTGCGGGTTTCGTCGGCGTGCACAACTTAACCATAACGTTATAGGCATCATTTCCAATAACTGTTATCAAGGTAGGCACTTGTAGTTCCGGTTTCACAACGTTCGCCACAAAATATTGTTCTAGCCGGTCGACATACGTTTCCCAGTTGCCTTTATCAAGGTCGAAAGGTTCAATTCTGCCCACAGCCATTTTCTACTTGTACTATAAAACACTATTATATCGCTATAAAATATGTACTGATACTAGTTATTTGAAGAGCACAATAAAAAACCTCCGTTCACTATGTAACTTTTATTCCAAAAGTCCAGGCAACATTACCTATTACAATTGCATTTTTAAATCACTTATCTACCGACATATATTTCAGTTACCACTAAATTAAATATCAAGAAATAATTGTAAGTATTTACTAGTAGATATAATTGAATTTATAAAAAGTATTGTCTGATAAGCGTAATCAGTATTGTTACGTATGATATCTTATTTCGTCGAAATGTCTCGATAGAAATCATCATAAATCGTAACAGTTATTGGATATTGAAAAATATTGTACACAGACTACGAGTATATATAGGTTTGATGATAATTATACGTTCAATACTAGCATGTAACTTTAAAAACATTGCACGCAACCACTGTTTGAAATTGAGATTATTTGTTATACCTATCACAACTGTTGTATCCAGTATTATACAGATGACCCAGTGACAATGACAACAGTATGAAACAATGTAAAGCGTAAACCAGTGACTGTAGATATTTGTTGTCAAACCTCTACACACGATATATATATACTAGATGAATACCCGGCATCGCTCGGGTAGATATTTCTGTAGTCATCGGTTCTCAAAGAATACCACCTAGGCTGTATGAGCGCAGTTCCCTTTGCCTTTCCGATTAAGGATAAACAGAACCAAAAAAAAATGTTACCACCTGTAGCGAGGTAGCCATACCGATTGGGGGGAAGGGGATTGTTAGTAATGTGGATTGATAACCCCATTGCTAGCAATGTACCTTGTCAGGTCGACCTCCACGTGGTTCCCCCTGGAAACCATCGTGTTTAATTCCTGGTGAATTAGTCACGATGGGCTAACTGACCTGACCTCATGCTCATTTTATCATCCTCCACTGGTGCCCCGCCAGCGTAAACCGTTAGCGCAGGCGGGTGCACCATTCCATTATCATCCACAAAAAAAAAAAGCCAGCGATTTGTTTAATCGGAAACTTTTATTCTAACAAATTAGTTTTAAAGTATAATATGACGTTTCCATAACAGAATTTTATAATTTACATACATATACTAATGTTTCCACTACTTTCGTAGTGTTATACAGAATAAAAATATATTTTTGTCGTTTCCGTACAAATAGTAATTTTTTGTGTTAATCTACAAACCAACATCTTTTTTCTTACAATCAGTTAAATAATATATGACACTGTGAAAAGGTCATTTATTTTATAAAAAATGCAGTTAGTCTTAATTTTAGTGAAAAATAAAAAAATATATTTTGATACTACAACCATATATTTATTAATACCTACCTATTTATTTCTTTCTATCTATCTACTTTATTAATTTTGTGTTAATACTTTTTAAATAAACACCCACACATTATTTCTGTATAACCTATAAAAATGGTTAAATAACATTAATTTCCAATAGTGACACAACCTTATTTAAAAAATGCAAATACCTGGCATTATGTGTGTAATAATAAAATGTAAAGAAATTGTGATTGTTATTAAGTTTTTTTTTTTAATAAGTTCATCTGAACAGAGAAACAACATTTGACATTTATTATTATTTGACATTGGACATTGACTTTAGTTTTTGTAATTTATATTGTAAAACTTTAAATTGGGCTAAAAGGACTTGTATCCAGAGCCGGGAAACAAATTAATAAAAAAAATATTGTCAAATATGTCTCGCAATTGGCCAATTTAAAGAAAAAACACGTAAAGTAACTCTTTTATTATAAAAAAAGTGTTAAAAACTATATTTTCGCGAAACGTTAACGTAACATGTCACATCATAGTATCTTTGGCGCGAACGCACGCGTAGTGTTGATTGGTTGTTAGCTAGTGACATGAAAAGATGGCGATTGCAGTTTGTTTGTCAATTTCATTAGAATTTAACGAAATAGTCCTTAATCCGAATTTTGCGGATATATGTTGTCGACTCGAAATCAATATTTTTTTTACGTTTTGTTATTTACATAAGGTTTCGTTCGAGTCTACCGTACCCCTTGACGAGATTATTAATATAGATATATATCATATAAAATATATATTTTTGTAACAAAGGTGTAAATCCTTACTAATATTATATATGAGATAAGAAAAAATATGGTTATTACCCATTCCTTTTCCCATCTTTATTTGTGATAAGTATGATAGACATAGATTCATTACTACTTAGAAGGAAACTAGTACTTGCTGTCCATTACTGTTTGCTGCTGCGCAACCAAATAGACAATCCCGCAGTTGTAGAACGGATAGGATTCAATATCCCTCCGAATTACGTGAGAAGTGTCACCCGTCGTCGTGTCCGACTGTTTGCAACCGCGTCGGTACGCACAAGCCACGCTAGCAATTCTCCCACTAGGAGAGCATTACAATTATTAAATTTATTTTTAGGTAAGGTCCAAGATGCTGACGTTTATACAGAAGCCTTGCCTTCCATAATTACTAAAATAAGAATATATTTATCATCATATAATTTTAAGTAGTATAAATAGTTTTAAAATATAAATTAGCTGTAAGTTTATATTGTGTTAATTAAATAAATAAATAAATATGCGAAAGTAACTCTGTCTGTCTGTCTCGCTTTCACGCCAAAACTACTGAACCGATTTGAATGAAAATTGGTACACAGATAGTCTAGACTCTGAGAAAGGACATAGGCTACTTTTTATGCGAAAAATGGGTTGTAAGGGGTTGAAATTGGGGATGAAATATTGTATGAAAGAATCGTCATTTTTGAAGCTAGAAGCTTAAAACTAATTTTTGAGGCTCCTAATTAAATATAAGTAAATATGACATTTAAAGTGTAGTGTATGTGGAAACACTAGCAGTTTATTATCTATCGTCTCGAGCCGAGCGTACACGGGTCGCCGTGCGCAAGAGGGGAGGGATTCCCTGTGCAAAGGCCGCGGAGTAAAGACGTGGAGATGTGGCTGACGAGCCGATATTATGTCGATAACAACTTACATCCAAGAAGACATAAATAACAAATAAGTGAACACTATATAAAGTATTTAAAAATTGTACCCTTAAGGGGGTTAAATAAATTGGGGTATAATTTTTTTTAAGTAAATTCGTCAGTGTTGAAGCTAGAAGCTTGAAACATATTTTTGAAGCTAATGATTAAATATAAATAAATATGACATTCTAAGTTTATCTCTAATCTCTGAAATGGCTGGACCGATTTTGACGGGACTTTTTTGGCAGGTAGCTGATGTAATAAGGAGTAGCTTAGGCTACTTTGATTTTAGAAAAATAAAGTTTAAAACCATGCGGACTAAGTCGCGGGTACAGCTAGTCTTACATATAATCAATGATGCTGGTAGTACCAAAAGTATGTCGGAATTGTTTTAAATGTGTATTCCTTCCAGCTAATAAGTAGGCACGGTTTAGAAGGTTTGACGGCACCCATTTTTTTTTAAAAGACTATTGATTTTTTTCTTTTTTTTATATTTGTTACTAGCTGTAACCGCGACTTCGTCCGTGTAATATAGTAACCTTGACCAAAATAGAGGACGAGGATGACCGAACAGACAGACAGACAATAATTATAAAAAATGTTATTTTGGTATATGTACCATGTATGTAACCTCGCATGTAGTAAAAAACGATTATTTCAATATTACAAACAGACACTCCAATTTTATTTATATGTATAGATTCCTATGTATGTATGTGTTTTAGAAAATGCAAATGCAAATACCCAGTGAAGTTGAAGGACCGTTCCTAACTTTTTTCTGTTCTTTTCCTTATGGAGCTGAATTTCTATAAATATTACTTATTTTGATTATATTCGTACCGGCTGTAGCAGAATAGGTAGAATATTTAATGAATGAAAGAAAGATAAATATTTTATTCAGTGCAATGTAAACTTTTCCCTTTAGTTTCAAGGGCATTCGGGGGTTGCATATCGTTCCCGAGAGCTGTCTCCATTGAAACTGGAGAGACCGCCGAAATCGCAGAATAGGTATTCAGTTTTAGTTCTACTGATCTTCAATCCAACACTCCCCAGTTTTTTTTGCCATCTATCTAGTCTACTCTGGACCTCGAGTCCATCCTCACCAACAAGCACAATATCGTCGGCAAACAGCATACACCAGGGTACCTCGTCCTGAATGTCCGATGTCAGAGCATCCATTACAATGAGGAAGAGGTAAGGGCTTAGAGCCGAACCCTGGTGTAAGCCTACCGCTACATTGAACTTGTCGGAGGCACCTACCGCCGATCGGACGTATGTGTTAGACCGGCACGTATTAGATCTACATACTTCCCTGGCACACCTTTCTTCTTTAGGGCCCACCACAAAACTAGACGGGGAATTCGGTCGTATGCCTTTTCGAGATCGATAAATACCATGTGTAAATTTTTATTTACACTCCGGTATTTTTCGCACAGCTGGCGTAGTGCAAAAATGGCATCCGTGTTCCCTCGACCAGGCATAAAACCGAATTGATTTTGTGAAATATCACACTCCTCTCGCAAGCGTCTCTCTAGCATTTTCTCCCACTTTCATAGTATGCTTAAAGCTTTATTCATCGATAATTGCTGCAATCTTGAACATCACCCTTATTCTTGAAGATAGGCACCAATACGCTTTGGCACCATTCTTCAGGAATCGTTTCTTCATGCAACAACTTATTGAAGAATAAAGTGAGCCACTTACATTCATTTTCACCCAATAACTTCCATACTTTCACTGGTATTCCATCTGGTCGGCTTTACTGTTTTTCATACTTCGCACAGCTTGTTTTACTTCTTCCATTCTTACTTCTCTGACTAAACCTACATTCACTCGTTCCTCTCCTATTGATTTATTCCACGAATTTTCTTCATTCATTAAGTTTTCAAAGTAATTTTTCCATCATTCTTTTATATCATCTTTCATTAGAACCTTTCCTTTATTATATTTTATACATTTTACATATACTCCATCGTTTGTATTCTTA